ATTGTTTTAATTTTATTTTTTATTTAATTTTTAGTTTTAATTTTTTTTTTAAATAATTTATTTTATTTTTTTATTTTTATTTCTATCTTAATTTTTAGTTTTGATTTTTTTATTTTTAAAGCATTTATTTTTTTACTTTTTAATTTTTTTTATTTATCTATTTTTAAAGCTTTTTATTGTTTTTTTTTTAATTTTTTTTTTTTATTTTTCTATTTATAAACCATTAATTTTATTTTTTAATTTTATTTTTTATTTAATTTTTATTTTTGCTTTACCTATTTTTAAAGCATTTATTTTATTTATTTTTTATTTCATTTTTATTTTGTATTTTTCTATTTTTAAAGCTTTTTATTTTTTTTTAATTTTATTTTTAACTTAATTTTTAGTTTTCATTTTTCTATTTATAAACCATTTATTTTATTTTTTCATTTTATTTTTTATTTAATTTTTATTTTTTATTTTTCTATTTTTAAAGCATTTTTTTTATTTTTTTAATTTTATTTTTATTTCATTTTTAGTTTAATTTTTTTTATTTTTAAACTATTTATTTTATTTTTTTCATTTTATTTTTTATTTTATTTTTTGCTTTTTCTATTTTTAAAGCATTTATTTTATTTTTTTAATTTAATTTTTTATTTAATTTTTAGTTTTAATTTTTTTATTTTTAAAGCATTTGTTTTATTTTTTATTTTTTATTTCATTTTTATTTTTGATCTTTCTATTTTTAAAGCTTTTTTTATTTTTTATTTATTTTTTAGTTTTAATTTTTTTATTTTTAATGCATTTCTTTTATTTTTTAATTTTATTTTTTATTTAATTTTTATTTTTGCTTTACCTATTTTTAAAGCATTTATTTTATTTATTTTTTATTTCATTTTTATTTTTTATTTTTCTATTTTTAAAGCTTTTTTTATTTTTTATTTGATTTTTAGTTTTCATTTTTCTATTTATAAACCATTTATTTTATTTTTTCATTTTATTTTTTATTTAATTTTTATTTTTTATTTTTCTATTTTTAAAGCTTTTTATTTTATTTTTTAATTTTTTTTTTTATTTAAATTTTATTTTTAATTTTTTTATTTTTAAACTATTTATTTTATTTTTTTAATTTTATCTTTATTTCATTTTTAGTTTAAATTTTTTTATTTTTAAACTATTTATTTTATTTTTTTCATTTTATTTTTTATTTTATTTTTTGCTTTTTCTATTTTTAAAGCATTTATTTTATTTTTTTACTTTAATTTTTTATTTAATTTTTAGTTTTGATTTTTTTATTTTTAAAGCATTTTTTTTATTTTTTAATTTTTATTTAATTTTTATTTTTGATCTTTCTATTTTTAAAGCTTTTTTATTTTTTATTTAATTTTTAGTTTTAATTTTTTTATTTTTAATGCATTTCTTTTATTTTTTAATTTTAATTTTTATTTATTTTTAGTTTTGATTTTTCTATTTTTAAAGCATTTCTTTTATTTTTTTAATTTTTTTTTTTCATTTTTAGTTTAAATTTTTTTATTTTTAAACTTTTTTTTTTCATTTTATTTTTTATTTTATTTTTTGCTTTTTCTATTTTTAAAGCATTTATTTTATTTTTTTAATTTAATTTTTTATTTAATTTTTAGTTTTAATTTTTTTATTTTTAATGCATTTCTTTTATTTTTTAATTTTATTTTTTATTTAATTTTTATTTTTGCTTTACCTATTTTTAAAGCATTTATTTTATTTATTTTTTATTTAATTTTTATTTTTTATTTTTCTGTTTTTAAAGCTTTTTATTTTATTTTTTAATTTTTATTTTTATTTAATTTTTATTTTTTATTTTTTTATTTTTAAAGCATTTATTTTATTTTTTTAATTTTATTTTTATTTCATTTTTAGTTTAATTTTTTTTATTTTTAAACTATTTATTTTATTTTTTTCATTTTATTTTTTATTTTATTTTTTGCTTTTTCTATTTTTAAAGCATTTATTTTATTTTTTTAATTTAATTTTTTATTTAATTTTTAGTTTTGATTTTTTTATTTTTAAAGCATTTCTTTTATTTTTTATTTTTTATTTCATTTTTATTTTTGATCTTTCTATTTCTAAAGCTTTTTTTATTTTTTATTTAATTTTTAGTTTTAATTTTTTTATTTTTAATGCATTTCTTATATTTTTTAATTTTAATTATTATTTATTTTTAGTTTTGATTTTTCTATTTTTAAAGCATTTCTTTTATTTTTTAATTTTTTTTTCATTTTTAGTTTAATTTTTTTTATTTTTAAACTATTTATTTTATTTTTTTCTTTTTTTTATTTTATTTTTTGCTTTTTCTATTTTTAAAGCATTTATTTTATTTTTTTAATTTTTTATTTAATTTTTAGTTTTGATTTTTTTATTTTTAAAGCATTTTTTTATTTTTTAATTTTTATTTATTTTTTATTTTTGATCTTTCTATTTTTAAAGCTTTTTTTATTTTTTATTTAATTTTTAGTTTTAATTTTTTTTATTTTTAATGCATTTCTTTTATTTTTTAATTTTATTTTTTATTTATTTTTTGTTTTGATTTTTCTATTTTTAAAGCATTTCTTTTTTTTTTTAATTTTATTTAATTTTTAGTTTTAATTTTTCTATTTTTAAAGCATTTATTTTATTTTTAAATTTTTATTTTATTTTTATTCTTAATTTTTCTATTTTTAAAGCTTTTTATTTTTTTAATTTTCTATTTTATTTAATTTTTTTTATTTTCCCATTTTTAAATTATTTATTTTTGTATTTTATTTTTTATTTAACCTTTATTTTTAATTTTTCTATTTATAAATCTTTTTATTTTATTTTATTTGGTGCTTTCCAGACCAACTCAAGCTGGTGATTGTGTTGGTGTTTGAGGGTCTTGCAGTTACCCCAATTAATAGGTAGAGATGATGTTTCAAGGCCACAGTGTTACAGGTAGGGGTTAAACAGTTTTTTAGGGTCTTTCAGGTGATTTTTCAGGGATTTTGAGGGATATTTTAGGGGTTTTTTTGCAGGATTTTTTTAGGAAATCTCTGGAAATGTTTCGGATACCTTTAGGGCTTTTTAAGGGCTTTTAAAATAATTTTTAGGGTGTTTTAATGACTGTCTTACCCGGGGTGCCCCAGCCAGCCAAGCCCCCCTGTGCCGGCACTGCGGCGCTCCAGCCCAGCCTCCCGTCAGCGTCGCCCGTGGTCGCTTCCCCTCTCCTGCCGCCGCCGCTGCATGGCGGGCAGAGCCGCGCCTTCCCCACCGCACCCTCCCGCTTCAGAGCTGCTGGATGGCGCGGCTCCGCCGCCTCCTGCAACCGTGGGCATCCCGGCGCTCCCTTCCACGCCCGCAGCCCCGTTCCCGTTCCCACAGCTCCGCCGCCTCCCGCACCCCCCAGCCCGCCTGCCACCATGATGACTGCCTGCGCTGCAGTAGTGACGGAACCCATGCATGCGCAGTTGCTACAACCCCAGCACCAGTGGTATCACTCCACGCTGACTCATCGAACCACAGTGCTGCTTCAGGGATCAGCCGCACGCATGCGCAGTTCTATCTCCACGGCCCCGCCGCCACCCCCCACTGCTTTCGCCGCACCTTTGGTACCGCCCGGTCCCGGTTGCGAGCCGCTGCGTGCCACTGTCCAGCCACAGCCGGCATCCATGTGCCCTGTCACACCACTTCTGCCGCCACTGTGTCTGTACACGGCACCACAGCAGGTGAAAACTGCAGCGCCTTGCATGTATCCTTCCACGTCTCTCCCTCTGCCGGGCACCGAGAGATCCCTCTGCAGCGCGTAACCCCGAGCAACCGATACCTGGTGTGCCTCTGCGTTTTCGCCTTCCACACTCCTAGCACCCAGTGGGACTACTTTGTGTCACGATTCATCTGCACAGCCACATCCATGCACACAAACCGTGCGATGAGGAGGAGGAGGAGGAGGTTGGAATATGACAGCTGCTTTAATAAATACAGGACAGACAGAGAATTATTTTGCCCCTGCAAATGCCAGCCCTTTGATCCCAACACAAAAGAATTTCGAAAAAGATCTGCTCCCAAATAGCTCCAGAGTCCCCTCAGTGTTTGGGACAGATTTCTCGACCCAAAATTAGACAGTAAACCCTGAAAATTCGCCAGCATTAATGCCAAAATTAAAAAACTCACAAAAATCTTTTGATAATTTTCACCTAACAGACTGGTGTGAAAAACACCAATCACTTGCTTTTAAAATTTTTGAAAGTTTAATAGTAATAAAATGGTTATAAAAATAGTAATACAATTAGAGTAATAATAATTTGGACAATTTGAATTAGGACAATATGAGACAACAAAAACAAAGAGTTACGGATGTCCGGGTACCTTTTTCTGGGCAGCATGAGCCCGAAAAAGGACCCCCGTTAACAAAGGATTAACCTTTAAAAGCAATAGCCTGTTGCATAGTCATACACTTCATACATGATGCATCAATTCCATTCAAATACAGGATTCTGTCTGGTCATCATCCACTTCTTTCTTCTAATCCTAACAGCGCCTTGGAGGCAGGAAGAAGTTTGTTTCTTCTGATAAGAGGGCAATAAATTCTTTTTCTCTGAAAGATCTAGATCCTGAGCCAAAAATAAGTTGGTGAAACAGATGGGAAAGTGGGAAGCTGGAATTACTAGATAGGCAAAGTGAAAGTTCTTGGGTAATCTTAACTGCAAATTTTTGTGCTTTAAGTGCTTCCTTTGAAATTAAAATTTATTTCTCCAATTCATTTCTATCTCTATACCTTTTTTATAATTTTTTTGCTATAATCTTGATGTTAGATGGTTTTGGTATTTTGTGGTGCTTGTTTATGCTTTTCAAGCATTTGCAGAAATGAGTTTTCCAGAGATACATTTTTAGAAAGGTTGGGTTTTTTAAGCACAAGAGAGTCCAACTCTTTGTTTTCTGGTCATGAATTTTGTTAGATTAAAAAATGTAATTTTTTATTTGTTTTCTTCAATTGAAAAATCATGAGATTAAAAATTAGTGTCATATTCTAGGATTCTATATTCATCTGATATAAATCTTAAAGAAATTGAGGAGCTGTTTATGACGATAATACAAGAAAGCAACACTACTACTCTTCACAACACTCAAAAAAATGTAAATTGTCTTGGACAAAGCAAAAGAACACCAGTTGATCAGAATACTCCAAGTGGAGCTGTGCAGAAAGGAGTTCCTGGTTTGGTTGGTATTGAGGAAGAAATTCCAGAAGCTGTGATTGATGCAGAAAGCAACAAAGCTGCTGCAGGTAGGTTTGGAATTGCACTTTTTTCTCTTTTTGTCTTTTAAATAATTGTTCAAATACTTCTACAGTTGTAAAAATGCAGGCAAAATTAAAACTATTACAGCACAGCTGGATATTCTTTTCTATGGCCCACCTCATGATGTCACACTTTGAAGAACTGAATTGCTGCAGAAGTTAAGCAGGCACAGTTCCCAGCCTGTGTGTAGTGTAATAAATCTGGAATTGCCAGGCATCAGGCATGGTCATCACCATGTCCTGTCTTTTCCCTGGAATACAGTGAGCTCCACTCTTCACCATGTGGGACTTCCACACAGCAGAGTATCTCCCTTGTTTTCCTTTCCTAGCAAATTGCACCGGTTCCACTGCTGTTTTAGGAGGGTTCTGGAACCTTTCAGAATCTTCCATAGTACAGCTCTGAATGAAATCATACAAGGAAGTGTTTAACTGCATCTTCCCCAGAGGTGCTGGCTGCTGCAGCTGTGTCAGTGCCAGGGCTCAAGCAGCACATCTGTTCAGGTGGGACCTGTGGCACTGCATCTCCCCAGACTTCCTCAGGGGCTGCTCTTCTTCAATGCAGAGGTGCCAGACCTCTGCAGAAAAGAATGAACTGGGTGCATGATTTTATGAAAGAGTAACTGTAGCTCTTCTGTAGATACCAAATAGGGAGCATTGGTCAAGTTTCTGATAAGTCAAAATAAGAAGTAAAAGGCGATGTTTGGAGAAACTTTCAGGGAAAAGCTTGAATATGCAATAAGAAAAAATTTAATTATGTCAGATTCTTTTCAAATATTTTGTCTGTGCACTGTCAATAGTCTCTTGTACACCTGACCAAGTGAAAACAGCTTTTTCTCCCTATATGCAGGTAATTCCAAAGTAGAAACTGCATCTGTGTTAGGAGAAGACTTATTGATGCTCTACAAGAAGTGCTGTTGCCCAGATATTAGTATTTGCGTAGAAGGCAAAAATTTTCAAGCTCACAGGTACATAAGTATTTACAGTAAAAAGTTTTTCAATCAATAACCATCTGGTATAAAATGCTGCTGTTACTGTTATCTAAAAGAAGCTTTTGCTGGTGCTGTTCTGTAGCTGTGAACTGTTACAGGTTTTAGGTCTTATGTGTGGAGTGGCTGTACTTTGATATTAATGAATATAATTTATCATCAACTGCCACTATTTTGAAAACAACTGTGCTTTTAGCAGTTTTAAGATTGCCACTGTAATCTCATATATTGAGTAAATACTTATGGAAATACTTGTAGATTTTTTTTCCTAACTATATATATATATATGTATGAATAACAAAATAAATTTAAAAAACTGTGATCTGTAAAGAAAACAAAAATCTACTAATAAACTATTCAGTTACTAACACTGAATAAAATTTCCATATAGGCAGAAAATTTCTGGAGCAGTAATTTTTGTTTTGGCTCTTGAGAATCTGTGCATACAAGATCTGGTTTTACTTTCATTACTTCAGTTATGTAGATGTAAAGATTGTCAGGAGCCTTTCCTAGATTGAAAGTCCAAGACCGTTTAAGAACTTTGGCTTATTGTACTCCTGTGGCTTGGGAAAGCAAATTAAAGTGTCAGTACCATTCTCTGTAGCTTTGATATGTCTGTTTACATTTGAGATAGCAAACTAGACAGCCTGTATTTTGTTCCCTTTGAGTATATAAAGTAACTGAGAGAGACTATAAAACCCCTCCATTACTTTTAGTACTTTCTCAACACAAAACTGGAGGGACAGTTTGTTACTGACATTACAGTATCTTTAGAGAAGGTATATCACAATTGTGTGGGTGTTTGGATATATGCTACATTTTCAGAATGAAGTGTAGGAAAGAATGTTTGTTTCTTCTGGTCTACATAATATGTTCTCAGATACGTAAGTTTGAAAAACAAATGCTTTAATGCAGAAAAAATACTGCAACAAAGAGCTTCTATCAGCAGAGCTTTAATTTAGGCCACTTACTGCCTGGAGCTATGTATCTAGTTTAACTAGCATCAAAAGATACAGCAGTAAATCATAGAGAAAACAAGGATGTTCTGAAACAGGCCCAGGACTTGAGCTCGTTTTAGCACTGGGTCATGTACACAGTAGGAGCTAATAAGGGCAATGGGACTTTCATTGTGGTGAAAGCACCACAATGATTTGCTTACTGTAAGGGGTTTTTTTTAAGTTCTCAACCAGGAGACAGGCTAGGCCCCCAGAGTTCCCCACCACTTGTGTCAGTATTCCTTACCTTCTCATGAAGTCCTGTGAACTTCCAATAGACTTCAGTGTTGCTGGTTTATGTCTTCCTAGTGTTGCATTCTTAGAGAGCTCTGCATGAAACAAGTCAGATTTGGTTGGTAATAAAACTGGCACCAACCATCACTGTAGGAAAGCACAGAGAAATTTATTTCAAAATAATTTAGTATCTCCGTATACTTTATAAATATATGCTGATAAAATTTAAATTTAGGTACTGCGTATTTGTCCATATTCTGCTGAATACCTGTCTTACTTAAAATGAGTCTTTGAAATACCCATTTTAACTATGCCCTTGAAGATGATCGATCACTGTTCATTACTAAAATTTATTTCTAAATTTAATAAAACTGGATATTTTAATTTAATAAAAAACTGGAGATAAATGTATTCCGTATCTCTATGATACTGTGTTACTGAATCTTATTAAAAAAGATGGTGTGTGCACCCAGAATTACATGCACTTCAGGTTAGGATGTAATACCCAATTTCATGTCAATGTATTTCACTAAGATATGAAGCGTTCAGTAAAAGCTTTGTTTTATTATTTTTGCTGGATGACTCACAGGAGGAATGTGCAAGAAGTTTCTAATTTAAAGTATTGAGACTTCTGAAGCAGGAGGAGGGAGGAGAGATGAGAGAATACAGAATATAGAATGACTGTAAAAGAGACCATAAATAGTGTTCTTCATGCTTCTTCCTACGCAAAATGAGAGCACTCAGAAACATTTTAGGAGACAAATACATGTAACAGAAAGGATTCTCAAGCCTAGTATAACATTTTGCTTTTTCTGCCACAGGAAATACGTGACATAAGCTAATTTTAGAAATAATAGGAGGCTTACAAAGTGTAATGAAAAAATTCTATGTATGAGAATATTATCTGTGGCTGTGGTAAGCCAGATAAGATACATAAAGGCTAACACTGTAACTGGTGTGGATCTGGGAAACTGAAATCACAAAGCAGTTTTCATCCACTATCTTGTCTTCCTCTCTGCCACTACACTTCCACCTGAAGAGTCCTGTTGAAAAGGTCTTCTTAGCTGATATTTTGAAGACTGATACTGATAGAGATGCTGAGCTCCACAGACTGCAGCTCTGGGGTTTCTTTATTCTCTTTTATGGATGTAGTAGTAAACTGAATTAGCCCCGTTATGGCCAGTTATGTGCTTTTTAAATATAGAAGGGCAGTAAGTGTAAACAGAAGTAGCTGACAGCCCTTGTTGTAAAAACACATCTTATTGTCCCAGCATGTGCTAATAGCAAGTTTTGTTTGACTTTTGGTGGGTAGAAAATTCTGAATACATGACATTTCATACTTGTCATTTTGATAAATCCACATTTTGCAATATAAGAAGAATTTAAGATGTTCAGTATATAATTACTTATAATGGGACTGTAAAAACTATTTATTTACTTTATTTAATAACTGTTATTTACTCTAATTTGGTAAATAAAGCAGGAGAAATAAATGTGAAATTTTATATAAAAGGAAGATGCTTGTGGTAATAGATTTCCTCTGTGTAAATCTCAAAGTCATACTGAAAACAAGCTTTAACTGAAAAATTTATAGAGTACTGTTTGGTTTTTCTGTAGCATATTTTGAAATTCCAAATGTACTGGGAGAAAAGGCATGCAGTGCACAGCTGACACCTTAATGCATAAAGGGCAAAGATTTAAGTCAATGTTATCAAAGAGTCTCATCATGAATATTTGTATGTAGTGGAATAATGTTTACTTTTTCTCTCTCAGGGCCATTTTATGTGCCAGATCTAGTTACTTTGCTGCTATGCTGAGTGGAAGTTGGGCTGAGAGCTCTCAAGAGCACATCACTCTTCAAGGGTAAGTGTTGTCTCTGCAAGTCGTGTGGGAGCAAAGGTAGGCAATTTACAATCACTGCAAATATGTAACAACTGTGCTGTGAACAGAGCGCTGAAGATTAATATGCCTTGACACTTTTCTCCAGCCTGATACATTTCCTGAGTACTGTTTTGACTTCAGGATGAAACTCTGTGTGTAGTGTATTTGTTAATATTGTCAGATGATTCAGAAAAGTCTTTTTCATCAGCAGAAGGGCACTAATCTTTTTGTATAGAGTATGTTTTAATATTCACAATCTTCTCAAAAATTCTTTTCTTTCACATCTTGTTGTACATGTCATGAAATGTGAGTGTCTGAACAATGTATTTTCCTACTTATTTGTACAATAAGTACATTTAAAATGTAAAGATAAATAACATTTCCTATATAGTGTTTAATTATGATATTTGAGCAGCATACACTAAAGCAATTTTATATAGTGGGCTTGTTCACCATGGCTTTCTGCATGAGAATAATGGAGCTGTCACTGTAGGATGAATACTTAAGACTTCATAGATAAGCTGGGGACTGTTCTTTTCAGTAGTTAGGTTAGAGCTCTTTTCAGTATCAGAAAACTCTATTGAAATACATTCAATTTCCTTTAAAAGCAGAGGAGTACTGATCCATGTACACGTTAGCTTTTTTTTCCAGGCATAATGTTGGTTGACTCAGTTTTCTTCAGAAAGAACTGTGTACCTTACAGTGCTGCAAAATGTAACTGCTTTGTGTTAATATAAAATCTCTTGGCCAAGTGATACTTTCTTAAATGTTCATTTTAGTTTCCTGGCAGTGTAATAATGCTGCTGCAACATCATAAAGGTTATGTGTTGATTTGGTTATAATTCCAAATCCTAATAAAGCAATATATTTGCAATTTAATTTATTCCTTCATTTTTATGGTTTTTAGAGGCTGATAGTCACCCATTACTCTGGTGTTTACACTTATCTCTCTGTAATTGATTTCTCTGTGGTTAAGAAATTAAGAAATGCCTCTACTTATTTTTCAGTAGAGGCATTCTCTGGAGAAGTACTGAACCCTTATATGAGACTGTTCTCATGCCAATGTCTCATAATTTCTGTTATTATGAGTCATATGCATAATTTTACCTTTTCCAGTTCACTTTTCTGCTTAGTGCTGTTTTCTACAACACTTATAAATGAAGTACATATGGCTTACTCTGAAATAATGAAAATTCTGCTTAAGGTAACAGCTGTCAAGGCTGTGGGGAAACTCCTCCTCGCTGCCTTTATGGCTGTTGTGTGTGCTGCTATACAGGGAGACAGCTGTGCTGATTTGGCTTCTTTGCATTTGCAGCACTGGGTTCTTTTCCTTTTGCTTTTAGTCACCCATGTCAATTGCTTCAACATGTCTGACGTTTTAAAGGGTCCTAGCTCTGCATGAATATTCCATTTACACCAATGCACACAGCACTTGTGGGTCCTGAAGACTCCACACAAAGATGTCCGTGCACAAGTACAAGAAAGTGTTGTTCAGATCGTGTCCATCACTGAGGCATTCTGTGCCCTTCTGCATTAAGGTGCTGGGACTGTGAAAGGATGCAAACACTGCTGTGTAGGTCTGCCAGCTTTCTTAATCTGAATAAACACTAAATATTCCGAGGAACATTTCTACTTTGTATTGTAATAAAACTACTAAATATATATTTTAGTGTTGCATGAACAAAAATATATCATAAAATAAAGAGAGTAATTAATTACAATAAAACAATTTTAAAATATATAATTACTTAATAGTTGACTTACTGCTGGTAAAGAGCTTGGCAATGATGAAAAAATCCTTCTCTATTACCAGTGTAAATAATATAGTTAGTATTGGTCTGCTTATTGCTTATTTTTAAAGATCTGAAGAAAGTTTCAGCAAATCTATTGAGTAGCTAAATGCACCCCAAGTGTAGTCCATTTAGATACTTCTGTATTGCAAAATCTTATTGCTTTAATTTTATCAGATCATTTGCCTTCCATTCACAGAGCAGCTGGATGATGTATCAGCTTTTTTGCCAACTTCCTTTGGCTAAGAAATGCAATGCATTTTATTATGGGCATGTCTTTATTTGTATTTTTTCACTCTTTTTTGCAGCATAAGCCATGCAGAAATGAATGTCGTCTTGCATTCTATATATGGAGCTATTTTGGACTTCCCAGACAAAGTTGATGTTGGGTATATGTCAAATTTTATTATTCTTTTTTAATTTTAGTTTGTGCTTGTTTGATTGTTCTGTATTTTCTCAGTTAAAAATCAAAAGGAAGACTCAAAAAATAAAAAAGCTGTTGAAGAAATCTTATTTATTTGACAGGTACTGGAAAAGGTATGCCAGCTGGTTTTGGAATACTCTATGAGGAGAGTGAAAAACAGGATGATGTTTTATACCAAAATAATTCCCAATTGGCCTGTACCTTCCTTTTAGTTTTCAGACAATATATATACAATGTGTGATAGTATATAATAGGTAATATTTTTAATTTATTTTTGAATAAAAAATAAATAAATTTTAAATTTTCATCACTCAAGGTGATGAAAAGGTGAATTAGTCTTAGATCCATGAAGGATGACATATAGGAACTAATGTAAATGTTGGCATTTTCTTCTGGGATCATTTTTAAGCACAGTTTTATACATAATCCTGTATTAGTGAAGTAAAATCTGAAATTTGTGAATTATTCTCTGTAACCATTTATATAGTAGGTGATGAACTCTTGCCACTAAACATTAAAATGCTACCATTTCCTAAAAATATGGAATTGTTTATAATGTGTCCCAATACCAATGTTTAGCTAATTAATTGATACAGAAAAAAAAAAAATATAAAATAATTAATAGTTTGCTCACTCTGCTTTTTAAGAATGTCATCAGTAACATTTTATGTAATCTTTGGGAAAAACCTTACAAAATTCCAGAACTCCACTGGCACAAATATTTTTTTCATTTGCTATCCTAGAGAAACTGAGAGTCTTCTAAACAGGTCTCAGCTAGTGACTGAGGCTTGTTTTTATACAGGCTCCCTCCATGGCTGGGAGGCTCTTATTAGGTCAATATGTTTCTGCTTTGAAGATTATTCTTTGGCAAGTGTCACACTTGGTTATCAGTCTCTTTCTGCAGTAAGTTCTGACTGAACCAAGAGGTAAAGTTAGCATGTAAATTGTCCTGTAAGGAAAATTCATATATCACAAGGATTTTTAATTCCTGTCACTACTGCTTTCTCTTCAGTCACATGTTGGGCATTGCAGACATGTATGGGCTGGATGGACTAAAAGAAGTAGCTGTCTACATTTTGAAAAGAGATTACTGCAATTTTTTCCAAAAGGTATGTCACTTCTCATGCTACTTGGTGAGCTACAGAGCCTGAGAATTTCAAATCTATTGCTGAACACTAAATCATAGTGACAAGATATGTAAAAACTACGTGTGATCGAGGTGCTGGCTGAAGTCAACAGTCCCTGTTCTCAGGTGTGGATGTGGGATAGGTGGTGGGAGTAAGGCCTGTGATAGCATCACCTATTTATAGACACTTGGAAACCCCAGCTGATTAAAAGCAGTATTCCACGTGATTAATTCAATGTACTAAATTACACTCAGGGTAGTTTAATATGTGATATTGTAAATGTAACTGTTCTTGGTGGGCATGTGGAAATGCTATATATTTGTGTATCTTGTTTCATGGGCATGTATTTAGGAAAAAAAGTCTGCTCAATGAAAATTGGTTTTAAAACAAACACCTGCTTAGAATTGAGCATTTGCACACATTAGGCTCATGAGGCTGAATTCTGCTTTACTGACATGTGGAAATAGATGACTGCATAAAGGCAAACAAACTTAAATACCATGGCAGCTGACATTCCTTCTGAATCCTTGAACTGAAGACTTTGTATTTCTGTGTGGTTTCTGTAAATCAAATGTACAATAACTGTGATAATTTTCTAACATCTCTAGCCTGTTCCTGGCAAACAGCAACCTGTACTAGAATGCATGGCTATTGCTCATTCATTGGGAGTGGAAAACCTATATGCTGCTTGCATGAAGTAAGTAAAATAAAATAAAATTGTTTTTATCTGCTTTCTGTTGAAATTATTTTATTTTGGCATATGAAATGTCTACATTTTAAATGTTTTTTCTTCACAATACTTTAGAGGTATCACTTATGCTAACAAGTGAAGATAGAACATTTTTCATCTTCCTTACCTAAGAATGGCTCTCTTTTCAACAGATGGGTAGGAAAACATTTTGCAAGATGTTTTTCAGAGAAAAGCTTTGCCAATTTACCTACTGATCTTCAGAACAATTGTCTTGTTACGTTGATTAACTCTTTGGTAAGTAGTGTGCTTTGTAGAAAAATAGAGCAATGTGAATTTTTTCCTTATTTAGCTGTACAATGTAATTTAAGAGCTAATGAATACAGTTCCTTAAATCTGTAGTACATTTATACTATGTAAAAGTTCCAATTAAAATAACAATTTTAAAAACTATTTTGATGTGAAATGTCATTGTTATGCTTCATGACACACAGTCCACCGTAATAATAGAAAATATGTTTATGAAACACAACTGTGACATCATAATGCAACATTATGGAAGTGTTCAAGGCCAGATTGGATGGGGCTCTGAGAAGCCTGGTCTAGTGGAAAATATCCCTGCCTACAGCAGGGGGGTTCTGATTAGAGGACCTTTAAGGTCCCTTTCAACCCAGGCCATCCTGTCATTCTCTGATTATGTATTTGCATAGTGAGAAACAGGAAATCACTCTATCAATTTCTGTGTTATGTGGTGGCATACATCATTTGTGATTGCCTTCTCATCTTTGCCTAATTTGGAAAAAATTGATTTCATTTTTTTTCAGACCTCAGGTGGTCACTGGCTATCAGGGATCATAAGTTATTTGTTTACAGGCAGGCTGACTTTACAAAAATAAAGTAGCAGTATGGTATCCATATCTTTTACTTCTCAGATAACAGTACTACACTGGTCCCCCCAAAGCTCAGCTTTCATTTTTTGTAGCACTTACTTACATTGTTCCAATTTAGACCTGCCTAAATTTAAGTATTTTCTAATTGTATTTCTGTATAGAACTATGCTTAGAGATGACTTAAGGTAACTGATTTGAACTAGACCTGTTAACAGAAATTTTCCCAAGTACTCAGCCTGTAATACACTGAATTGTAACAGATAAATGAATAGTATGTAGAAATAAAGGTAAATCTGTAGAGCTGTTGCCAAACATGACTGTCTATGTATGTAACTGTAATGTGGATTGTCACAAAATGTAATCTAACTAGCTCAGGTAACATTCACAGCATGATTTTGGTTCTAGCACACAACCCAACTAAATATGTGACATATATCTCATGCTGAAGTCCTTGTCCCTGTGTCTGTGCTACTGTGTTACCTACCCACACTAAATAGGTCTGGTGAGGCCATGCAGTGTCAAACATAGCCCTGGTTCAAGACTTGTGCTCTTGAATGGTTCTGGCCAAGAACTACCCCTTGCTGAAAGGACTGTGAAGCCTTCTTGGGACTGGCTTTTTTTCAGGATTTCTGTGATGAAGTACTTAAAATGCTGAGGCCAGCAGGTCAGCTAGGAGTAGCAGCAGCAACTGCATATTCAGGTGAAAGCCTGAAAAATGAGAGATTGCAGAGCTATGTGCCTTTAGGTTAGATATTAGGTAAAGGTTCTTCCTCCAGAGGGTGTTTGGGCACTGGGACAGGCTCCCCAGGGCAGTGGTCACAGCACCAGCCTGGCACAGCTCCAGAAGTGTTTGGACAGTGCTCTCAGGCACAGGGTGGGACTCTGGGGGATGGTGCTGTGCTGGGCCAGGAGTTGGAATTATGACCTGTGAGGGTATCCTTCCAGCTCTGCTGTCATCCTCTGGTCAAGAGAAGCTTGAGAATATCCACAGTTATAAAACCTGAGCAGTTCTACCACAATGCATCAATCTAACAGAATAAAGATGGCAGGCATAATACCTCAAGAGTATGTCTAGTATCTCAAGGTGCTGGATATTCTGCCACTGTATTATATCAGCATACTGAGCTGTTCCTAGGATATACACATAGCAATGTGTAAAATTTTAGAAGTTTTAAGTAACATTTTCAGATACAGGTCAGTTCATTCTGATCTACAGCTGTTCATAGTTAAACCACCACCCACCTCCAGCTCCAAACTACCTCAGGTGTGTACTGTAGCTATAAGCACATGTTGACACAGTTTTAGGTTCTTTAGGCCCTTGTGCAACATTATTGGGACAGTTGAAAGGTAAATGTTCAGGCCTTCCTTTCCCTCTGCTTATTCTAGTCAATAAAGATGCTGTGGTTACAGTTTGTGTTGAAATGCACAAACTTGCCAACATTTGCAGAACAGCCATGGCACTGTAGTACTTGGTCCTGCCCCCTTTGTGTACCCAGCTTTGCTGGAAGGTTTTTGCAGTTTGGACTAAAGTGGGTTTTAGTTCCCATATTAATGATTTAAAATTTGTGTTGGTGTGTCTTTGCAAGAGTCACTGCTATTTTATGGACTGAAGTCTTGAAAGCAGCTAGAGTTACAAAATTAAATGATAAAGCATAAGCCTCTTCTGCCCAGAGAATGGTTCTGGTGAGCATTCCTTTCAGTATTTAAGACACCCATTCCAAAAACTTGTGAAATTCCCTGGGGAGTTTTTCACAATCTGCAAAAATGCTTTAAGCCTACTTGAGGAATGAAGAAGAAAAGGTCTGACATTAATTTTGCAGGGACTACTGTACAATTCACAGTCCTTTTTCTCTGCTGCTAGAGTTCTCTTCTCTGAAACTTTAAACATTTACACCCAGTTAAACAGTATAACTCTGCTGATCCTTTAATTTACTGATGTTGGAAATGTAAAACCTAGTTAATGTGACAGCCCTTTAGAGGAAAAAAGCCAGGTGCAAAAAAAAGGAGATTGTTGACAGGAAAATCCCTGGGAAATGACAATGATGAACACAGAAACATTAAAATGGGAGTATCATTTAAAGCACTGTCCAGGGGCTTTATGTGTGCCTATCCCCGATGTCTCAACTTCATACAAGAAAACTACTGGGTTTTTAGATAAGTAAAGTGGACTCCACTTTAAAATGGTTAGGAAAAAAGTACAATAAGAGAAGTAAAATTCAGTTAGAACCACTTCTACAAAGTGCTGATTTAATTAAAAGTCAATGAAGGCATTTTATATTTCACTGGAAGTGTCTAATGGGAGTAAATGCTTATTGCCTTGTGAGCAGGGGTTGAATTTGAGACAATTCAAAAAGCTTGTAATTGAGTCCAGTGGGAGCAAAATCAAACCATGAGCATATATGTAATTCTTAATTTACGTGTTTTGCAGAGAAGCAAACTGAGTTTGCCAGAGATAAGTAAAATAATTTTTAAAGTATATTTTAACAATGAATGGTCAGATTTTATCTTTTAACTATAATATGCACAAAGAAGGTACTCCCTGCTAACTTGCATAGGACAAATGTGTTTGTGATCTGAATTTGCAGTAAGGGTTTTTGTGTCAAATATTTATCTGAATTGTTGCTTTTTCAAGTGTTACTGCATAATTTATCAGTGTCCTGCTAGGTCACATTGAATGGAGCTTTCAGGCCATTCTAATGTGGATAACCATAAATTCCAAGTTCTTTTCAAGTAACTGTGTTAGCCAGTAGAAGTTGCCCTCAGGTGCTGATGCAATGCATGAAAGAACCAAAGACACAGACCAGGATAATAAATATCAGCAACTCTTGTTTGCATGTTGGAAAGGTAACTAGAAATGTAACAGTTACTTTTCTTTGAGAAACTTTAGACAATAAAGAGGGTAAGTTCACTTAAAACTCCATCTGGGAAGACAAATATTTGTTGTCTGACTCCTTTAAATAAAACAAAAGGATTCATAATTATGAAAAAGTATTTTTCTCTATCTGGAATGCTAGGCCATCCACACTCACCTAAAACCTCAACTTAGCAGTTTTATTAATGAATTTATTACATCTTTCAGTGACCCATGGTCTTTTTCTCTATTCAGCTTCTCCAGCAAACATTTGCCTTTTTTTCTTCAGGACTGCAGTATGTAATGACGCAGTTGAAAAAAATATAATAAAAGCTATTGAAAACTTTTAAACTTTACTACCTAACTTCAGGCAAAACTGAACCAATAGAGATTTCTATCTCTGCTTTAGTTTCAAAGGCACATATAATATTAAGAATTATAAACCCCAAAAATTATTTACATAAGGGAAATAATGACATGATTGGATCCCTGTGTAAAAGCTCAGTAACTGAACAGATGCTATTTTACAATCAGCAATTCTTTAGGTAATTGCTTGGCAACAGGCTAATTTCTGTTTCTGTTTCAAGAACCACAAGAATGCTGCTCTCCGTCTGATGGAGAGTGACCGGCTGATCAATAGCCTGCCCCGAGTGAAATGGACAGAGACAGCTGTGGCCTTGGCAGCACGGCTTCACGAGGAATGTGTAACCTTTATTGTTGCAAACTTCCTACACGTAGTACAAAGTGAAGGCTTCTCTGTTTTGTTGCAGGTAAAAGTGCCCTCAAGTTTTTATATGCTTCCAAATAAATTGAATTATAGCACATTTTGCAAAGATCAGGCTGCTAAATTACCAAAATAGTCTCAGCTTTTGCTTTGAGTTACAATTCTATGGAGAAAAATGAAAAAACCCACCAAAACTAAGAGTTTTGGGGGTGGGTTTTTTCAAGTTTGTTTTAAAGCATGTAAATGTTTTGATATACAGTGCTAATACTGCATTCAGGTTATGTGCTTCAGTTAAGCAAAAGTTCCAATTGGTTTAGTGGGACAGTTTCTGTGTTGCTTCAAAAAAGCTTTCAGGCCCCTGAAAAAACAGCCCGGATTTACAAGATTAAGAGTATGAGCAGTGTACTCAAAGTTCTACTGATTTCTGTCATCAGTTGCACGAATGTGGCAATGCTGCAGGTTCTGGTGAGAGCTTACCCAGTCACCCAGCCTGTTCATTTCTCTTGTGAAATCTGTTTTTTTAATATGATATAATATACGGAGGAGTGAAAAAAATAAAGAGGGAAATATTAAAAGAATTTGCCTTTGGATCCAGAGTTGCATGGAGCTGTAAATTCATCACAGTGTGCTTGTTCCTAAGATTTCTGTTAACGAGTGAGGCCTCAGGATAATTTGCTAGAGGCCTGGAGAGGGGTGGGGCTGTGGAATGGATACAAAAGAAGATGCTCAGCTTTGGAATACCTCCTGCACAGCTTGATAGCAGATCCTCTCTGCTCGGTAATGCTTTTGCATACAAAGTACACGCTTTTGTTTTAAACGACTGCCTTTTGTTGTTTCCTCAGGCACAGGCAATGAGCAGCAAACCTGACCTCCTAGAACTAATTTTCAACGCAATTGAAAAAAGCATTAATAATGAAAATAGCTGCTTTCTTCTTGTAGCAGTGGATATTTTGCTGGACTCCGCAAATGTGGAGGAGATGGTAGGTTCTTAAATGTGCAGTGCTTGTACAAAAGCTACTCTGGTACAGTTTCATGCCATGGTTCAAATCAGATGATATGGTGTGAGCTCAGATGGCTCAGTCATGCAACTGGGGTCAGACAGAAAAGCATCTGCATAAATCCAAGGTCCTTTTGGAAGTACAGAAAATGAAGGCATTTGTTTACTTTAACGAGAAACCCCATCCTGGCAATAAAAGAAATCCTGTATATTACTGAAAATGTAAGTCCTATGGGCAACACTGCCCTATTGATCTTTACTATCACTTTAAATTTGTGATAAGAGAAAAACTTAGCAAAATGTTGCATTACCTAAAACTTACAGGGGAAGAGAGTTTATTCTCTTCCTTCCTAAATATTTCCCCTGCTTTTTGTGAAGCTTTTTTTTTTAACTGTCCTCTGAAGCAAGGACTGACACTTAATCCAGTGCATGTTTATTGGATTGGGTGGAGGTGTCAGGCTCCAAGTGTGTAACATACCGTGTATATTCATACAATCTAAATAATGACATTTAAGCTGTGGTTGGCTAATTCTGGGAACAATTCATAAACAGTATGACAAAGAATAAAAAATAAATGAAACATTAATTACTGCAATCTGGTGCTATTACAGATTTACTTGGTCAAAGCAATGAAAATTTAATCAAATACATTATTTTTCCCTGGAGTATTTGACCTTGTTGAGATGCAGCTGACAGTGAAGAGCTATTACGGGGTTCATTTAAAAAAAAAGAAAAGGAAAAAAAGAGCAATGACAGTAGTGTTTACTAGTGCTGTAATTTGTAGGTTTTAAACTATAGAAAAAATCACTGTAGTGGGCAATAATCCTTCAAAAACAGCATCTCCATCTACCAGACTGTTATAAAATATAAGTGATGACATCATTGATCTAGCTTAGGGAGTAAGTAGATTCTGAAAGGAATAATGACTGGTTGCTATGACAATATGCCCCTCGCCAGCTGCTGATTTGTTACTTGAACACAGGGTTTTACGTGCAAGATCCAGGCGCTGCGTGATAAGCTCTGGGTCTTCCTGGTTCAGTCTTTTTATGCTGTTCGTCACACAGAAGGCTGGAAGCTGATGAGGCCAGACCATCAACAGAAAATACAAGCAGGTATGTCTGGCATCAAACGGCATTAGAATTTTTTAGCAATCTGTTCAGTGGATACAATGCAGATGGAATTGTGGAGCCTGATACAAATTGAAGCAAAATTTGTGCTGCTTTGTGTTTTGAAGTGGTGTTTTAGAATAGAAGCATGATGGCATGCTTAGGTAGTTTCAAAGATGGGAATCAGTAAGTCATTTTCTGTGAAGAGTCTTCCCTGCTTTTCTTTTTAGGAGTATATATGATAGAACGCCTCCACCATCATGTAGATGCATTCTATTCTTATTTACAGCTACTCTAAATTACTGAAAACACTGCAGTAGGATTAAAAACCTGATCTGCCTCATTTTTAAGGAGATAAGAGCTGTGGATGAATTAAATTTGCCCAAAGCAGATTATCCATTCCCTGCACTCCGTTTCTGTCCTTTATCGTTCTCTCCATGATGTATAAATATTGCTCGTCTCTTGCATAATGCTTGTCCTGTGCACTGGGAGCAAATGCAGAGAGCTGGGCTGCTCGGCTGGCTGGCATTGTGATCTTGTGTGTGCTGCTGCAGAGAGCCCCCAAGGAGCTGCATGGTGTGCTCTCAACATTTGAACAGACAGCACTTCCAGCAAAAAGGAGTTTTTGTTCTGAATGCTCCTTTGTTTTGAAGTGCACGAGTATTCTGAGGATGTGGAACTGATGATGGAGTTCAGGTTCTGGTTTAATATTAGCTTTGACGGTACAGTGTTGTAAAAGAAAAGAATGTTAAATACTGCTCTGAATTCAAATCACTTTTGATTCGAAGGAGATGTGAACATTTTTATATCCTTAAAGACATTAGTAGCAATTTCATAATTATATACCTAGAGGTAGATGCAAATTTTATTCTACAATTACATGCTGAAAGATGCAGTGACAGTCTGTCTAAGCATGATTTAGGAATGTAGTCAAGTAATATCTCATACTACTCTGTAGAACAGGGATAGGATTGCTTCTTGATTATAAAATCCTTCAGAAGTGGAGGAGCTGTCTTTAGAAAAAAGGGTGGGTTGTCCTCATTTGGGGTGGTTTACTTTTAGGATGCTTGTGTCCCTATTGTGAATGATGCTTTGGCTACTTTACATTAGTGCTTTCAATAGAAAGAAATATTTAAAATCAAGGTGTGTCTTAATTTTCCAAACTCCATATTGCCAAAAATTGTTTTGTTTTCTTTTAGGTTAAATTCTGACTAAAGTTGCATATATTTTATATATAAAAAGGCGGAAATGTTTGCATGAATTATCTGGTTTTAATTACAGGCAAAGCAATTGTACAATATTGCTAGACAAATTTTAATCTTCAGGTGAAATGCACGTAGGATAACTTAGATCAACTTTCATCTTAAAGATTTCTGGTGTGGCTTTGCTCCTAGAAATTTAGCCTATATAGCTTTAGAAGGCTATAACAGAGGAGGAAAAATGCCAAAATAAGAGCGATGATATTGTGGTTTTTTCATTTACAGCCTGTCTTGTGTTTTCTTAGGCACAAGTTTATAAGGATTTTGTCTTAATATATTGGTATGTATTAATATGCAGAGTCATTGCTAGAAAAAGGATTAGATCCCTGGGGTGCCATTTTCAGCATATCTTTTGTGTGATTTTTAGAGACTTATATAAAAATTATTTTTAGTATCTTTAGCAAGAATTCAGCAGAATTTTTGTATTATACATTAAAAAATGTTTCCATGTATAGTACCTCAGAACATGAGGCACTGAATGCCTACATTTTTTAATATATTTTTTGCAAAACCTTTCTTCCAGTTGAAATACGAATACAGACATAAATGAAACCTATCGATTCTGGGTCTGTACAGTGTCTATAAATATCCCTTTTGTGTTCTACAAGTGCAATTGATTCAGAAGCTTTGTTGAAAACTGCTTTCCTCCCATAGTATATCAGATGGAAAAAAAGGCATTCACTGCCTGAAAACCCCACATGACAATCACAGGGATAATTCTCATGACATTACTCTGCATGCTATCTAAAGAGGCACTATGACCTTACTGTGTGCATTTAGGCATATTGGCTTTGCCAATTTTGAAAACTAATATAATTTACTTCAATGTAATTAATCTTTTCTTTATATAGTATAAATAAATACCTTATAATTAACAACACACTTAAAAGCTGTTAATACTCTAAATTTGAAGGTATCTTTTTGTAAATTTTGTACACTTTTAAAGGTCCCAGTGCACTGCTAGCTATAAATGAATTGAGCTTGAATAAACAAAAGTCTTACTATGGACATGAGAAACAGAAGAGTTAAGTAACTTGCTTATGGCCATGTGATGTCATTGTAGATACCACATTTTTTGTTCCAAACATAAAGCCATGTATTTCCACTTAACATTTGCCATGTCACCAAAATTAGCCTTTCTAGAGTAAATCAGGACCCAAAGAAGTGCTTTCTGATTTCACATGATGTTAACTGAGTAGGCTGGCTTGATTTCTGTCCCCCTTCTTTCCTGCCAAACAGTGAAGAAACTGCTTGTTCCTTTTACAGCTGCATTTGACAAGGGTGATGACCGAAGACTTGGCAAAAAACCTGTATTCACCAGTTCTCAGGTAAACATTTATATCCAAACATTTAAAACATTCAGATAATGGCAAACAAAACTATTTCCATTATTTGTTTAAATTGATACTTATTTTCCATATTGTTTAATGGAAATTGTTTTTGAAAAATCTGTATTTTCTTGTAAACTGTTTCTGCAGAATCAGTAATGACTACTGGAAACATCTTAGACTGTGTTCTGCGACATTTTCAAACAGATAAGCTCAAATAAAAGGCAGGAATTTGTGTTCAGAACCTCACATTCCTCTCTTGCTACATAATGAAACTCATCTGTTTCCCAGAGCAAATGGTTTGCTACTGAGCTAATGAATCTCTGCTATTATCACAAGCCACCACAACACTGAGTCTGTTACACTCCCTGCTCTGAAAAATATTTATTAGTGCCCTCAACAACTCTTCTATTGAAACTCACACTCAAAACTACATTATTAATTTGTAAAAAACCAGTATCGGTTTCACATGATTTGACCATCTTGCATACATTGCAATGACACAATGACACTGGTATCACAGATTCCCTTTCATGCACTTAATTCTCCATGTTTGAGTTCCTCTTTACCTGAGAGAATCAATATTGACATTTCTGTGTGGATACACTGTTTGGTAATGGTTAAAGTCATCCTGTAAAATCATACATTACAAGTATGTTTTGTTTGGGTTTTTTTCTGATGCCATTTTTTTTCCTAGCTAAATAAAAGTACATCTGTTGGTATAAGGAATACTTCCTGGGCAGAACACAGCAAGAAAGATTGCTGGGGAGATTCTTCCACTAATCAGGATAAAATGAAATCTGATGGATTAGGAGCATCTGGACATGCATCCACCAATAGAAACACTGTCAATAAGACTTCAAAGCATGAGGATGTAAAGGGGAAAGATGGCAAAAAATTAGTTTCCAAGATTTCTAAGGATTCCAAACCTGGGGAAAAAGCTGCTTTGCCAAAGGCTAGAGCTGTTATAAAGACAAAAATAGAAAATAATGGAAATATGAAGGCTGAAAGCATGCTTACCAAGCAAGATATAGAAAAGACATCATCTGCAAGTGGACAAAAAAATTCAGGAAGCAGCAAAGGACTAAGGAACCATGAAGGAAAAGTTGCAGGTGCCAGACCTAAAGTGCTGACAGTAACCTCAAGCATGCAGAACAAAACAAAGCCATTGAAAAAAACCACAGGGAAGGAATCTCCCTCCTTGGTGACTGTGGCAGCAACTTCGAGCAAGTCAGCAAATTCAAACATGGATATCCAGACTGCGGGTGAACAGACAGAAGAACCCAAAGAGGACAAATCAACAGAGGAAGGGAAAAAACAGACTGGTAAATTTTTATAATTCTTTCTTTAAAGTCCTCTTCTGATTGGTCTCAAGCTGGTCATATACTGAAAACCAGCCAGGGAATCTTTAAGACAATCTACTATAAATTGCTAAGAGTTACATTCTTCCCCTGTTAATGAGTATAAACTGACTTTTTGGTCAATTAATAGCCATCTAAACCAGTAAACATTTTACAACTTTAGCATGTATGGTCTTCTCAATAACTGAACTTCATATATATTAGATTTTTTTTTTGGTACTTATGTGCAGTGCATTTCCCTCTGTAATTAACTTTGAATTTACTCTACAGTAGTGAAAACAAAGGTATCTGTGAAGGTATCAAATGGAGTCACCACCAAAAAAAAAAAGACTGAACTTGAGGCTAATGCCACAACAAGCAGGTATGTTACCATATCCTGCTACATAGATGTGTGCATAGATATGTTTAAGTTTGGGAAGAGAGGTTTCAGGTGAACTATTAAGCTTACCATTAGATGTTCCTTTTACTCTGAGAATGGTTGTCTGTAGGATGTTATTTGCAAAACAATTTGAGTTAGCTATTGGCAACCTTGCTGTAAAGATAAAACTGGTTTGGCTTTTGTGTTGGACTGTTGCATGTTAATAATTTTTAAACTGTTATAGGTCATTCAGAATTCTGCATGCTGGAACAGTTAATGACTACACAAGGTGGTGTAAATTTACCATTTCTGGAATAGTTTAGATTGAACTGGACAGAAGACAGCTGAAGTGACATTGTGAAATGGGTCATTATTTATATACATGTTTGTATATAAATTAAAAATATAGATATATATTTAATTTTTATTTTCAAAAAGTTTACTTTTAGGTTGCATTTTCAATGTTCATATATGTGTGCACATTGAAACACACATATTTCTTGTTTAAATATAATTAAACATTGCTAGATCTAAGCCTGGAAATAATGGATGTAATGATTTCTTTGCAGTCTGACAAAAAAACCAACAGGAAAAGGGTGTAATGATCAAAATGTACAGACTGTTCTGAAGAAAAAAGGGAATGTGAGTATGAGTTCTGCAGCACAGCAAAAGACTCAAAACACACCTACCAATTCTCCCAAGAACCAAGGTAAAGTTTCACACAGCGGTTCAATGATCTGCCACTGTAATGCAAAGCTTTGAGGTTTGGTTGGTTTTATGCGGAAGTATTTTGAAAAATCTTCTGGAGAATTCTGTGTTTTTTCCATATTTCACTTTTGGTGACAGTCCTAAACTGTAAAATGCAAATTAATGTGTCAACTTCAAAATACTTAAAAGACGCTCTTCACTGCCAGTCAGTGTTTTCTTCTGCTTGTTTAATCTGCATTGCAGAGTCTTCCATTTGCTGATCCCCTGCATTTCTGCATTTGGAACCATGACTGAGCTCAATAGAAATTCTGTAGGTTGAGGATCTGTAATAAGCCTCAAAGATCTGGACTGCAGACTGCTTTATGCCTCCCCAATTAGGTGTTTTCCTATCTCCCCCTCTCAGTAGTGCTATTTGTTTGGGGCTGATACTGGCCCCAAACAAATCCTCAATTTCAACAGCTACTGATAGCAGGGGCAGGAAATGCCACTGTAGAACACAGAGAGGAAACACTGGTTTAGAAGCATATAAGGTGTTAAGGATGGAGCTCCAATATTCAAGTTTTATTATCTTAAATGCACTGTGATATAGAAGACACAGGTTCTGCCAATTTGTGGTCATTAAAGATCTTGCAGTATTTTCTGACTGAGCAGGGACATTAACTCTGGTAATGTAATCACATTATAACTAATGTAATTATTTTCTGCCTCTGTTCATTTCCTCTACAATATAAATTGAATACAGTACTCATTACTTCCTGTGCTAAGCTGCTGTGTAGTGTTTGTATGCATTATTAGAGAGCTGCTGCTTTCTACTTTAGGGATGGCTGCTTTAGTTACAGGCTGAAGTGATTCCTGTATGTATATTCTATTAACTGCTTTAAAGGTTCCAAGACAGTATTTTTGTCTACTATTTGTTATTTCAAATCTTAATTCTTTAACAAGCCTTAAATCCCTTAATTACATTTAAAGTTGAGTAACTTGTTTCTTAACATAAACAAACATTAACATAAAATTGGTGAATATACTGTGACTGGCACATACAACCTTTATAGTCTTTTTTACTGTTTGTTAGGACCTCAGGGGGAATCACCAAATTCACTGAAATCAGGAACATCTCCAAAACATAATGAAGAAAAAAATTTGTTACAAAACCTAGTTCAGACAACACTCCCAGAAAAGCATCCTTCAGCTAAGAAGAAGAGTATTAAACAATCACAAACACCTGTAACAAAAGCCACTTCAAAAATAATACCCAAGACTCTGGCTCCATCAAAGAATACTGAGATTACAAATAGTAAAGACACGAAACAGAAACCAGCTGTATTAAAATCTCAGTCCTCTGCCCAAAAGCACTCAAGGAATGATTCTCCTGTTGTCCAGAAGAATGTGCACACCTCTGAGCACAGAGATTCAGGACAGAAACTTGAGAAAAACACAACTGATGCTGTGGCAGGTCAGCTTCATGACAATAATGAATGCTATTCTGCAAATGAATCTTTAAAACCTGCCACAGAAAATAGCAGTGACAATAAATTGCTGGAGTCCTATCAATCCAATAAACAAAAATTACCAGATTCTTCTGAAACTGCACAATACAAAATACAATCCGAATCTTCTTCTCCTCAAATTGCAGAAGAAACTGTTTATAAACTGAATGTTTCAATACAAAATGACAGAGAAACTAGACAACTCTGTGGCGATCAGACTGGAATTAGAAAGATTGAAGATCCAGACAAAGATGATAATACAGCTGAATTTCACTGTCATGCACAGTCTTCCAATGATGGATATTCAGACTTTTCCAAGGAAACCAATCAAAAGGCTATTGTTTTAGAACTGGTGAAAGATTCAAAAGCAGCAAAAGTCTGTAATGAACAGAGTGATAAAATAAACCCTGAAACAGGTCATAACTATGGTGAAAGTGCTTTGTCAAGCTTTTCCCAAGTAACCAATAAAGAGGATGAGATATCATCTCAGATCCATGTGGAAGGATTTCTTACAGTTGATGAACTGTGTGATGCATCAGCCTTGACTGAATATAAATCAGTTACAACAGATTTAGACGATGCTTCAGAATGTTCCACAGAACAAATAACAGAAAAATATTCACCTAATTACACAGAGCTTATAGAGCCTATGGAAATGCCAGAAAACCATGAAAATGCAGAAATTCCCTTTGTGGACCATTGGAGTGCTGGTGCTGTAGATCCAAAAGAGAGCCCTGAATCAGATACTGGCAGTGCAACCACATCCTCTGATGATATAAAACCAAGATCAGAAGATTATGATGCCGGAGGCTCTCAGGATGATGAGGGATCCAATGAAAGAGGGATTTCTAAATGCAGCACTATGTTATGTCATGATTTTCTTGGAAGAAGCAGCAGTGACACAAGTACACCTGAGGAATTAAAAATTTATGATAGCAGCCTAAGAATAGAAGTGAAAATGAAAAAAGAGGGTTCTGATCTCTTTCGTGTTAATTCAACAAGTGATGATGAAATACCAAGAAAAATTTGGTCCCATCAAGAGAGTTCACGGACCACAACTAGAGAAAGCAAAAGTTCTACTTTTGTTAATGCTCAGTTTACTCAGGAAGCAGACCAAGTTTCTTCTTCTGCCGATGAAACAGAAGATGACAGATCTGAAGCAGAGAATGTTGCAGAAAAATTTCCCCCATCAAATGTTCCTACTCAACAGTTCCAAGGAATTGATAATTTAGCTTTTGAGGATGCAACAGAAAATGATACTGCAAGTCAGGAGTTTTCTAAAACTAAAAATTTCAAGCGATCTGTTTTACTTTCAGTAGATGAATGTGAAGAATTGGGAGCCGACGATAAAGCGGAAACTCACACTTCACGTCAGCACTCAATAGAGTCTCTTACTCCTTCAGAAGTATTTGACAGTGTTTCTCAAGAGCACCATGGAACTGGATTTTATTCAAGATACTCATTGGAAACTGAAGAGGGATTCCTGGATAGCAAACAGCAAAAGGATAGAGACAATAGATTGGATAAAAGTGGAAGTTCTGTCCTGCATCTTCAGGGTACTGAAATCCCAGGAAAGGAGAATCAAGGTGCTTCAATGACTGAACAAAACTGCCCAGAGAAAGTATATTCAGCAGGAAGTCCACATCCAGGAGAAAACCAGCAAGTAAATATGAAGAATGAGGTGGCTACTGAATTTCACCAGTGCAATAAGTACTCAGACAATGATGCAAAATCTCAAGAAAGACCATGTCATCTGGATCTTCAGCAGAGAGAAACTAATTCTGATGTGCAAAAGAGCAGCTCTGCAAAACCTGTAGAAGCCAGTAAGAATCAGGTGCTGACTCAGGAAAGTCAAGTGAGAGACAGTCAACCAGCAGCTACTGAATGCGATAATACTGATTTACTTCCAGGTAATGTACAGAAATAGAAACATTCAGTCATTCAAAACCAAATTAATAGGGGAAGCTTTGGCAATTTGTCTGGGATTGAATCCTGAACTGAAGTAATTTTGGCTGAAACAGTATTAAATATTTTTAAGTATTTCACCTGGGTAGAGAATGCTTGTCTGTTTGAAATATCCGTCAATACCCTGCTGTTCAATGAGAAACTTGACTACAAGAAAAGAGATTTCCTGTAATGCTAAAAGAAAGATTGGATGCAGTTGTCTGTACTTCAGTTATTTTTGATCCAATCTAACATTGACAGCATCAGCTTTTGATGGAATCTTAGTATTTGTTTTGTCTGCTTGACAACATATAGTATGTCTGAATGGGATGTGCAATAACTAAAGTAATAACCTTAACTAAAGCGCACTGAACTGTTTACCTGAACAGCTATATGCATTATTGTTGTAATTTATTTATTTATATATTATATACAAATTTGGATCATTCTCCCACTGAATATAACTGAATATTTGCCATATACACCAGTGGGAGTAGGTTTGAACTCTGCTTTAGAGCTTATGAGATGTCTAAAATTCTAAATTTTACCAGTAAAAGCTTATTTCCTAAAGAGAGATTATACTTAGAACTGATGCTTATATACAAAAAAAGTTCTAACTTGTTTCATGTAGCTAGATGAATACTTGTCTAGTTTTGTGTTTTGTCTTCTTTATATCAATAATTCAGTCTGTTTATCCCATCAAAAATATGCAATAGTGTTGATTAAAACTATTGTGTATTCGAGAGTAATGAAACACTGATGATGATCTATGTTCAGCCAGACCACAGAACAAGAAGACATTAAAAGTTGTACTATTTTTTTTAAGTTTGCTTGCCCTTGCCTGCAGCTGCCCTTGCATGTGCAGTGTAGAAATAAGCCTGTGGATAAACAATTTTGGTTTTAATTCTCTTCTAAGCTGACATAGCTTAAGTTACCATTCAGTAATCATTCTCTATTAATTCCCTCTTATGCACCTCCTGGTCTAAATTTAATTTATGTAGTAAATGAGAAATTTCATGTGCATTAAGTGTATATTTACATTGTCATTTTCTGTATCAGAAACTTAATTATGGAGGTTATTGTTAATTACCAGTGATGATTGCTGCTTTAACTTAATTTATAAATCATACTTTGTTTTTATATAGGTAATAAATGCCTCAAATTTTGTCAATTTTGTATAACCCTCCATCCCCCCTTTTTTAACCTGATTGGATTGTCCTTCCTGAATGAATTAAATTTTGCTCTACACAGCCCTGAGGGGAGGATCATCTACAATTTTTACATTGTACAGTATTGTGAATTATTTCAGGAGACATAGATGATTATGACACAATGGCACAAACCTGCATGTATGAACATCGGCCTTCAAAAACCCTTTCTCCAATATATGAGATGGATGTTGGAGAAGCAATTGAGCAGAGGATGGATTCAGAAACAGCAGATCTAGAGATGGATTTTGAAGATCAACAGTTTGCAGAACAGGACTGGACTCTACTCAGGCAATTGCTATCTGAGCAGGACTCACATATAGATTTCAAAAACTCTGTTCCTGAAGACCTTAACTTAGCACAATGTCTTATCAATCAGACACTGTTTCTGGCACGAGATGGCTCCAATCCTCAGGGTACCTCCCAGGTTGACACATTCAGCAGGTGGACTGAGCTCATGTCTCCACTTGACGACTCCTCAGCAAGCATTACAGTGGCGAGCTTTTCATCTGAAGACTGCTCGTCCCCTCAAGGGGAATGGACAATTCTTGAACTGGAAACCCATCATTAAGGTTTCAGCTGTTTGCAACTGAACTCCAACCCATTCCCCAAATCTATTTTTGATGAGTTGTTTCCATACCTTAATGAAATACTGCATCAGTCAAGAACGAGCAATTCTTGATACTGAGGCAATCTTTCTGATAAAATGAGGTAAATATGTTAACTTATCATCTAGATTTAATCACAAGTACAATAATTTTTCAAGACTTAAATGTATGCCTTTTCTAAAAATGAACTTGAGCATGTATTTTCTAGAATTGTTAGAAAAACTAGATAACATAAAGGAAAAGTCTGGGTTTCTGCCCTCCCTTTTATCTTCTTTTTTGACATTTAATGTTCTCATTGCTCAAAAATTTAAAGATGAATGCACTATAGTAGACCTATTCCTCTCCTTCTCCCCCCCAATATGGTGACTTCATTTTACAACAATAAAGATTCAGAATGGTTGTGTCAAAAGGTGATGTGTGCCAACACTACTTTAAATGACAGAAAAACATACTTATATTCAAAGAAAACATTTCAATCTGACTCTGCCTTGGACCTTGTTAATATGAGCAGCTTGTTTCATCTGTTTCTTCCAGATTTGATTTTTGTATTTTGGTTTATTTTGTTTAGAAGTTTCCAATAAATTTTTTTAATTGCCTTTTCTTCAAATCTAAGACTTCACAGGGTCTGTGCTGTATGAAGACCACTGTTTCTTCCATGAAAACGCACATATTTAAGTAAACATTTTAAATGGCATAGTGCATGAATTCAAAGGAGTGGGTGGAATGTTGCTCCTGCTCTAAGAAACAGCATGTCTGATGTCTCCAAAAGTGCATCGGAATCTGAAGTTGTGGTCAGTGTTACGTCTGAAGTCCGATGTTAACTAGAATTACCTTCAGGCATTAATTAATTACACTTGCACGTTCTCATGCTGAAGTATAGCAAGATTCTCAGGAATTTGGTTTTGTGTGTTTCCATAGATGCCACATTTTTGGAAGTGGTAATAGGATTATTGCATCTTTGTTATTATCTCTAGTGTAGCTTTCATAAATTGAGACTAAATGTCACAATAACTCAGAGTGAAATAGGATATACAGATAATTCTGCTGCTTTTGGCTCTTTGGGTGTGGATAGGACAGATTATTGTCTTTTCTGATTGACAGGGGAAGAAGGAGTGAGAAACTTCTTGTAATTCTTCCCTAGTCAGAACTCCTGAAACATACAGGGTTTTTTCCCCTGCAAAGGTTGGACCCCCTTAAGATATCTGCATTATGGAAACAGTAGTGCTTGTTTTTCACTCAACTTAAAATCTCAAAAGGAAGTATTCTACCTCCTCTTAGTCATTAACAGAAGTGCCTTCAGGAGTGAGTGCCATACAGGAGTAAAAGGCTAACTAACTAACATGCTATTCTGGTTGAAACTGCAGAAGTACACAGCTTAAGCTGACTGTAACCACTAATGACACAGTCAGTTCTGCAAGCTTTTGCACAATTCCAGCAGTGCACCTTAACTTGACAAACTTCATTTCTTTTTGTTCATCGTCAGAAACTCAGTTCTGTGGAAATATGAACTTGCCCTAGTGTATGATTAAAGAAGTTTTGACTCTGGATTTGACAGAATAAAGATCTTTGAGGCAAAATAATTTATCTAGCAAGGCACTTCATTGAATTTCTGATACATATGTAAAAGTAATGTTTTATTCTCAAAATGAATGGAGGAAGAAATTTATCTTGTTCTTTAATATCAAGGTAAGGGAAAAAAAGGAAAACCTTCCTTTCTCTTTATGTCAGTGGAAGATTCTAAACTTATGGAAGGAAGATGTTCAGTCTCATCAAAAAATCTTTCATCTGCTCTTTTAACAGCAGGATAAATAATCTGAGATATTGTAATTCAAAATATTATAAATATAATACTCTGTATTTAACCCAGTCTTCATATTGAGGGAGTTAGAACCACCTTTAGAAGTGCAAAACATCAAGAAAACCTATTTTTCATGTTTACAAGGTACAGCAGTAGGTGATGATCTTTTGGGTAAAACAGAGAACTATAGTACTGGCCATAGTAAAAGATGAAGCTCAAGAGAAGCTCTTACAGAAGGCCAAGGAAGAGTGGTTTTTAATGTCTGTGTAAAGCACTAAAGTAAAAGTTGTCTACCAAAAAGTTTAATCAGCTTTAAAATCCTGATGATATTCTGACAGTGGGCATTCTCATGTTAAACAAGATGAAGTAATGGAAAGGAAAAGTGACAGAAAGTGAAAGAAGGGATTATTTTGTTTATTTTTTGCTTTGCCCATATTTTTAACTTCTTACTGAATTGATAAAGTGACACTGAAAATTGATACAATTTCAAGTGTATTGTATGAAATACAATCACATACAGGACTTTTTTAATTGTGGTTTTTGTCTTTGCATTTACTTTTTTTATTTGCTAATTTACTTTAAATTAGCTTCTCTCTTCAAGTCCCCAGTGCTGTTGTTGCAATTCCTTTACCAGTTTTGCAGCAGCCCGCTGATTAGGATATGGTATTGTTCAGTTGGTACAGAGGCAGCCATAGAATTCAGCTTCCCACAGGCAGATAGTGTCTGTAGGAGTAGCAGGAATAGAAAGTGGTATTGTTTTTAATTCGCGTTACTAGAGCGCCTGCGAGGCTTAATCAGACCAGCATCCCACTGGCTAGACATTGTACAAACAAAGAGCAAAAACAAAGACTGCCCACAGAGTGGTTAGAATCCAAGATAAGACAAAAGACAAAAAAAAATGCACATGAATGGAAAAGTAAAATGAGAGTGTCAATATTTGTCTAGCTGATTAGCAATGGTTTCAGCACATCATCAGTTTAAACAGTCATTTTTTCTCCTGTATGCATTACGAGAAGGGGAAACTTTAGGGTGAGATTTGAAGGCTGGATAACAAGGGAGCTGGAAGAATGTATAATCCTGACCAGCCTTATGTGCTGCCTAAACTGTTTGACCCTGACCTCTTTCAAGGGAATGTTCAAGCTTTAAAGCAGGTGTATGTAGCTATTTGTTTAATAGTATCAGTCACCTGAGTTTTCTGGAGTCCTCATACCTGCTGGCAGTGATTTTATCACTGTATTCACCTCTTCTCCAAAACAGCAGAGAATGGATAAAGGTGTCTTTGAAAACTTGATAGAGAAACAGAGGTGGTGCCATGGGCTCCAAGTGAATAGTGATGATGAGGTCCTGAAAGACCTCTAAAGCAAAGACAAGGTAGATAGATACCTCTGAGCAAACAGTGAAGGGCTGTCAGTGAGGAAACTAAAAAGATGGCACAGTCAGAATACTCCCCTTGCAGTAGTATTTGGAATAAGAGCAGTGAAATTGCTTTGTCAAAGCCTGAGAACACCAGGCTGCAGTTAACAGGTGCAAGTGACAGCTTACCTGAGATAGTTCTGTGAATGGGCAGAGATGGCTGTATCCTACAGAGAGCAACACATATTTAGTAAACTATCAGTGAAATTTAAAGGAGAGGACCTGGCAATCAGTCTCAGATAATGACCCTGATTTGGCCTACCTTGAATGACATGTCATGAAAATGAAAAATAAGGAAAGAGGTTTTGCATGTATATTCAATATAAGTTTAAAAGTTTAAGTTTAAAAAAAGACTAGATCTCCAAAAGTGGTATCTGTAGGCATAATTACTTTTTTTTCACTTGGAAAGTTAGAGTCTAATCTGGACTGGAGAAGCAGCTCTGCAGGGTTTTTACATATAGATAATAGGTATTATTGTATTTGTGGAGTAAGTCACCAACAGACATAGTGCAGACAGAAAAGGGAAGGCCAGGCACTTGGAACTGTACAGGAAAGGTGGCAGGGGGGAGTTCTTCCAAATAACCTATTAAAAAAAAAACTTAGGGAAGCAGAGGAAATGAAAAGACGGAGGCAGGAGTCAAATGAGGATGAGAGCATTTGAGGAAAACTGCACCACTGGCTTCACTGAACATAGCCCACAAGGCAGATGAGTATAAAATGCCAGTTTGATTAGCAAAGTGTTCCAAGGGGCTATGGTCAAAATGAGAAATTAGCCTACAGAGTCAAAGGCAACAAACAGCAGCTTGGCAGAGCCTGACAGAACTGCAGGAAGGGAATGGAGCCTAACCACTAAGAGAGAAACAACAGTTAGAAGAGCAGCCCAGTTAATAATATATTTTGGTTTGCTTCTTCAATGCATGAGATTGTACCATGTTTATGTAGTGCAGCAAAAGAAATGCAGAGGCTGAGACATACAGAGAAGATCAGAAGAGATAAGTAAGCATGAAATGAGATCAGCAGGCAGTCTGGACTGCTACAAGTGATCAGATAAGTGCATTAAAAACCCAGACATCTGCTTTTGTGGTATAGGGGTAATGGAAAGGACACTTCATAAATTCTTAAGTTTTTCCCTTAGAAAAGCTTCCTCCAGAATCAAAGAATTACAGAAAAATCATAGCAATACAGGAAAATGTAGGCTTGAACTGACCTCTAAAGGTCTGTAGTCCAATCTCCTACTAAAAGCACGGGTAACTTCAAAGTTAGATGGGGTTCTTAGGGCCTCATCAACATCCATAGCATATAAAATGGTAACGAAGTCAGCAGGCAGAAACAAAATGCTCATGGGAAACAGATATTTGAGATTAAACTATTCTCATTATAATAAAACTACTTTGTGTGTCATTGGAAAATATTAATAATTGAGTACAAGAAATATAGCTAGCTTGCAATATTTTCAAGTTCTGGATGATATGTGACTGCACTGTACATGTTTAATAATCTTCTAACATACTTTTTAAGGGTTTTAATTATTTCAAAATTGTACTCAAGTTTTGAGATGGCAAATTTTATTATTTTGGAAGAACTAGGGCTAGAGAACTTCCTATGTTTCTCCCAAAGACTGTCCCGAGGAAGTGTTCCCCTAGCATTGTCTATCAGTTTGTTTCAGGGAATATGATTTAAAAAAAAAAAAAAAAATCACATACCTGTTGTAGGTGCATACTGTAGGAGACTATTTTATATATACTTCAATATACATTATTGCCATCTGGAAAATAGTAAGTAGCATGCTAATTCTACTTTGCTCCAGAAAACCTAAACCTTTGCATGAAGCAATTAAGAACTGCTCTTATGTTGTTCATCTGTTGCTGAGAACCAAGATATTTAGGAATTCATTATTTTGCTTTCACTAATGTCAAAAAACCCTCTTGTTGACCTCAGCTGAATGAGGCTCAGGACCTGTCTATAATCATGCATGTACTAGAAATGCTATTTTTCCAATATATATATTTCGTAGTTTTCTAGTTTTATTCTACTAATAACATTGTACAATTGTAGGTATGACAAATTACAGCTAGAAAGACTTCAATTTAGGAGTCATAATTGTATGCATTCTGTTAATATTTCATGACTGGGGTGATTTAACATTTTTACATTGATGGATGACACTCTTGCCAGGACTACATAGGAACTGAGGACAAAAGATAAAATGAGGAGCATTGCAGCTTTATTACAACCGATGATTCTCTGGAAATGGGCTTTTAGATCTGAAATCAAATATAATTAGAAGCTTTCATCTCTTGCAGAAAATCCATACTGATTTTCATCTTTCTCTCTTGAACAAAAGCTATATCCGATTTTTTTTAAATAAGCTTTAATGTTCAACTTTGGAAAAATGACAGCTCAAATGTCGTCTTTAGCTAATTTAAAACTTTACTTCTTCCCATTGACAACTACTGTGTGTTTAAAGAAGCTAATCCTGTAACAGAGAAAAGTGATTTATCTAAGAACTGGATATCAACTGGGGAAAAATACTGAGTTTGGTAATTTTTTTACAAATTTGGTTTTTTTCTATTTGATAACTAAAGCCAGTAGAAGCTCTACAGAGCAGGCATGCACACACACCTGTTTCTTGCATTTGACCTTCCTTTCATACTTCTCTTTGCAATCTGCAATGTGCACTCCATTAAGCCACAGTTCTGCAAACACAGAAGTGAATCCACAGCCACATCTGCAGACTGGCTTTCAGCTTAACATTCTCTTTTCAGAGAGGGTAATGGAGCTGACACTGGGGGCAGGCACTGTGCACACTTGTGGTCTTATACAGTACTCAACTTAATGAGGTTCTAATCCTGATGAACCATCTAGATGCAGTTAAAGTATGAAATAATTAATAATGGAATTCCATTAAATTCCTTCCCTGTTCTCCTTAAATGATTGCTCAGAAGATTGTCCAGTTAGAGAAATCAAAGTCCTAAGAACCTAACTTTTTACATTACATGCAAGATAAGTTCTTTCTCTATTGCACTGTAAAATATGAATACATGTCTTCAATAACTCAAACCTCAGTATCTGGAGGGGCTGACTGTAAGTCAGTAACTAGATACATTTATCAAGGACACTGATGGTCAAAATAGGGTTTGTACACTTAGAGATCCTGACTGTTAACTGGACTAGAGTGTGTATTCTGGTGAACCTGAACACAGGTTCACATGCACAAATTTGGGACTCAGCCCAATTACCCAGGTAGTCCATCATACTTTGTATTTATGCACTCAATGACAGTGACTACTCTTTCTGAGCTCCCACCTAAGTCAGTGTGAGTGCTATCAGATGCACATTTATGAGGATCACATTATTTATGTGTCTAGACAGAGAGACTAGTTGCTGGAGTAAAAATTTTGGCCCATGTACCTTAAATATATAAAACATTTCTGAGACTGATCTCACCAACTTACTTTAACCTACAATATCCTCACCTATGCAATCCTTAATGTAGGAATTCTTGCAATTTTCTTACAGTTGTCCTTAATGAAGTAATTTTCATTCTTCACTTTTTTTTTTAATAACCATTTTTCAAGTGTGGCATGACATCCTGCCAGTAGAGTTACATCAGTGTGCTTAATTAAGATCAGTACAGATAGGACAAACTCTGTGTACATGCCAGATTCAGTGTAGGTAGTGTAAAAGTTTTTTGTGACTTTCATAAAATGAGGTAATATCCACAAACAAGAAATCCACATATAAATCAAACTTCCTGCCTATAACAAAATCTCCTCCTGTATCTGTAGAGAAAAAAACCCTTCAATCTCTATCTTCTGGATTACCATGTAACCAAGATTATGATGTATCTGGATTATCATGTAACCAAGATTAATCCAATATATGTATAATGGGATGCATATGAAGAAAGGTTTGAGTCACTACCTGTAGTCCATGGCTTTATGGTCCTGGAATATTTTGACCATTCAATCCTGTGGAGGGAAGGGGAGGGTGTTAAGCTCTCAAACCAAATGCTTGCATGATTCCCACCTGCTTGCTTTCCACACCTAGATAACAAGCTGGGGTCTAAGTAATCCTATTTTTAAATGAATTTTTGTCAACATAGTGTTCTGCTTAAAGAATATCTGTATGGTTGCATAGTCCCACAACCCTTCTTCCTCATGCTACATACTCAAGGTTCTTAGTTGATTTCTGTATGACAGAAAATAATAAATCCTATGTGTAAGTTAAATGCTGAGTCACTGTATTTCATTCAACTTGTGGAATGCTGACATGAATTTTTATTTGTGCTCTGTAAATGGCAAAAAAAAATTACTTTCCTTTTCCATCTTTAGTGGACCTTCACTTGTTTTTCTCCTTTAAAGGAAAATACTGATTTTTCTTTGACTGTGTCATCAGAGAACAGGACAGTTGATATGTGTGTGAAGATAGACAATCAGTTTTCATATAAAAATACATAGAGGAAGATACCTGTGTAACAGTCCCACAAAATCAAACAATGGAGCTGATGTATAACATACAGGATATGGGCCAGGAGAACATAGAGAAACACTAATTTGATTATAGATGTTGCCTTGTCATAAATTAGTTATTCATTCAAATGCTTATGCCATTATCTTCATCATAGGGAGTTCTTATCACAAGATCTTTCTATTCTTGCCTAAGTGGGGTCCTGTACTCTGCTTCCAGGAAATATTTGATATGCTGCCAGACTCAGCCCTGTTCTTTCTCTCTCCTGCAACTTCACCTTTATGTGAAATGCACCATGTAGGTATGTGGGAAAGAAATGCTTCTGAGATTTAAAGCTAAGACTAGCCAAATGTCAGAAATGGTCACAGCAGAAGTAACAGTAAGTAGGAAAATAACTTCAGCTCATCAGATAGCTTTCCTCAGAAGTCCCTTCTGGGAAAGGAAACTTCTGTAGAGAAGAATGAAGAACACACAATTCAGAAAAATCTATTTTCTTTGAATCCAAGCTCTACTTAATTAGTGTTCTGACATTCAGGCTAAAAAAAAAAAAAAAGAGAAAGCCAAGCTGTGAAATATTCAAATGGTCTTGCAGAACAAACTTCTATCAGAATTGTCCCTTGGGCAGAGTCCCAGGGGCTCAGCATGTCCCAGACAAGCATTAGGCCAGGGCAGCCCTCACACAGGAGGCAGTGCAGGGTCCAGGGTCCATTCTGCTGAGAACCTTCTGTCTCAGAACAAGCCCTATTTTTATTTCAAAAACCAGCTACTGTCAAATGTAAGTGACAAGCAGAAATACTTTCTGGTATAAATATCTGCCAACTGTAATTAACATGCATAATTTACGTGAGTAAACATGTAACAACTGGAGGCAAAATACTGATAGGAAGCATTTTCTGTTAAGATTTGGGTTTTTCTCATTGTCCCACACTTACCCATCATTGTACTTTCGTGCTTCTCAAGTGATATTCTGAGTTTGGGGGTGTCCAACTTCATGCACAATAAGTAGCTACAAGGGAAAAAAGGTATCTATCAGAAGCCTAAATCCAATATTTGTATTTCTTTGTAATTACATTCTAAAAATACATAAATGAGGTTAGTTTCTTCTATTTTAAAATGCTTTAAAAGTGATTAAAAAGAAAAAGCTTTTACTAAAATATCTGATTTTTGGTAAAAATACCAGTTTCAGAAGACAGTATGAGAAGCTAGACTCGTGCCTGGCTAAAGAGCAGAGCTGGGTACCAGTGCTTCTAATGGTTCAGCACCCCAGCTCTTCCTGACCATGTGGAAGTGTTATTTCCTCTTACATGATTAAAAAAGAAACTTCAACACATTCAGTATTTCTTTTTCACTGAAAGTGGCGCTGTCTCTTGTAAGAAATCGTGCCTGATTTAGTGCAATACAACAGTTTCTCGCTTTTGCATTTTTGTCCTGGGAAACTTCTATGTTTATATAACTTCTATAGAAAATAACTTGGCCTGTTCTTACCCACAAACAGCTACAGAACTGGCCGCCTATTAGGAGCAGTCCCCGGCGCCGCGGGGCAGCTCCTGAGGGCCGAGCCGTGAGGCTGAGGCGTGAGGGCGGAGGCCGAGGCCTGAGGGCGGGCCCCGCTGCCGGCTCCCGCTTCGCTTTGCCCGCTCCCACAGGCGCCGCGGGGCTCCAGCGCTGCCCCAGGACAGGTTCGGGGTGGGGAAGGGCCAGGCTGAGGCTGGCGTGGGGAGCAGCTGGCCCAAAGGCTGAGGGGAGCCTCCCGGCCTCCTCCCGCTGCTGCCGGCGCTCCGCTGCTTTTTAATCAGCTCTTTAATGTGTCCCTGTGCTTCACACATCTCACCTCGTTAACTGGCGGGAAATATTTGTCGTCTCTCTTTTCTCAAACTTTTCAGAAGAGACACCTCACTGCAGAGCGGTTAAACCACTGAAAAAAAATGACAGAAAGCTGTGGGCAGGAGCAGACAAGGTGGATAACGACGGTTATTATGAGCACAGCTCTGCAGGTAGGACAGCCCTTGACAAGGCCAGCATCTGACTCACTAGGAAAGGTTGAAAGAATTTCCTATATTATGTATATAGAAATATTTTAATCAATGGCAATGAATACATTTTTTTCAGGATAAGCCAGATATTAGTCTGAAACTGCTTCTATTAGAATACTAGTTATTTTTGTGTGCAACTGTATTTTCTCCTAGCTAGTGCCATATCTGTTTAGTATTCTTGCCACCTGCTATTCTGAGTTACACAGCTTTAGGATATTTTCCTGACTCATCATTTTTGCACTGCACTGATGCCGCTTTCAGTTTGCTCTATAAATAATTCCATCAGAAATGTTGCTGAATTTTTTCTGAATTTCTCCCTAAATATTTTATTTTTCCCTATGCAGTATCAAATAGGGGTAGACCCTTACCCTGTAAGTACATAATTCAGTTTAAAATACTGAGTCTTACAGATATTAATATGTATTTTTTATCTGTTAACATCAGAAGCCTTGACTCCGTTCCCAAGTAAAGTGAAAGGGTATGTCAAGGAGCTGGTAATTAGCTTCTGCAGCTGAGGCCAATTTCATGCCAGCTGGAGAGAATTTAGAGGCAAGAGAGCTTTGATTCACAAGCAAGGATGTCTTATGCTAGCTTGGCTGACGAGGTTATCATCATCCCATCTCTGCTGTGTAAATGGCTGAACCATGTTGAAGTAATTCCTGAATCACCTCACTTTAAAGCCTATACTTACTTGCCTGCTCATTTTGGAGTTTACAGCCTGTAAACTGTGTGGTTTTGTGCCATAATATGGTGGGAGGTAATGGATGGCAGTGATTTCATCAGCTATAGCAGCATAACTCACTCCTACCCCCAGCTCTACTCAAAACTACTGCTCTTAGTAAGGCCTCCTCATAAGCAAAGCAATGGAGGGAACTGAATACAAATCCAAGATGGCTTTTTGTTGCAGCCACAATACACAGAGTATCACCATACCATTTCAGAAAGCTTTAAAACAGAGTAACACCTTACCACATCAGAAGGCTTCAGGTCTCTGCCCATCCAGAGTAACATCACATTACTTCAGAAGGCTGCAGCCATCTGCCCTTCTTGTTCTTTGTCCCCACCTTTTATCCCCTCCTGTTGATGCCCTGCATCTGTGTGCCCTCTGTTCCCTTTGGTGGTTGGTCAGTGCCCCTGGGCACTCCCTGGCTTATTGCTGTCAGTGCTGCTCACCTCCTTCTCACAGCTGTACCCATTAGGGATGAGACTCGGCCACAGCCCCAGTTACCACAAACTGTGCACCTACAGCTTTTCTGTATCAGTTTTGGTGATGAGCTATCATTTTCATATAGATGTTATTTATATTTGTACATTAACTAATTCAGCAGTGGCTCTGAAGCTGAGATTTTTTTGCAAAATGTAGCTAAACCTTACAAGCAGTTGCCACTGAGTGTACCCTTTCCAGACAATTGAAAGCGTGACATTTCTGGTTAATGTCTCCTTCAAGGTTCACTTGCAATCCAGATTTTCTGTTGTACTCTTCCACTAAATCATGGCACTTCCCTACGTAAGCAGGCTGGCTATGTGTTGAATGGGGAGGTTAAAGAACATGATATTAGCTAAAAAGTCTCAGTGATTTAACCTTTAATATATGTGTGTTCGTGCAGCTTCTGTGGAACATACTGCAGAAATGCTTTTTGCAGGCTGAAAAATACATCCAAACACATTCCATTCTGTAGATGATTATGCTGCACAGTGCAATGTTCTACTTTTCCTGTGTGGATTGCTTTCTGTCAAAAAACTTTAAAGAAAATCATGTTCCATACAAAATTTCTGAACGATTTTCCAGCTGAGATGCTGACATCTGTGAAAATAAAGCAGCCTAATTAACCAGTCACAGAAACACGCTACTGTATGATCCTCACTTCTGCAAATCCTCTATTAGCACATCTTACCAAAACAGACTGTAAAAAAAAACTTCTTTATGCATAATGCAAGAGTTTCCTAAGACAAACTGAACATACACATACATAATTATTATTCAGTGTTTGTAACTTCCAATCAAATACTTCAAAACTGATCATGTTTAACATTTTAGTACTTTTTTAATTTTTAGTGGAATAAGAAATACTTTTTGAACAACAGTGCCAAAGGGTGGTCCAGCTGATGCTTTAAGAATATTTCTAACTTGTTGATTGAAAACTTTTCAAAATAACCTTTTAAAATTTATTTAGGATCATGAAATTTCTACAGTTCTGCAGAGGCAACAACACCGAGTTCGATATTCAGAATCAGTGGAAACTGGATCTGTGATTTTTCCACTTTCTGGTACACTACTTTAAAGTTCATGCTTTTAAATCATAAAATCCAAAGAAGTACAGAGTCAGGGCAGTCATTTATTGTGGGCTACACTAAACTGAATAAAATCTACCTTGTTAGGATGTTGTGCAGTAGTGGAAGGAGTTGGGCTATCATTGTATGTAAATCAGAGGATGAAACAGATAATGTTGGGGATTAACCACTTTCATTGTAATTTTTTTTTTTTGGACATGTTATACAACAGCTACATGAGATTTGGTGATCATCAGCTGAACTGTTCAGTAAATTTGTGTTATAACTGAGCAAACATGCTAAATGCCACAAGCATGTAAGCTGCCATCAAGATCTTTAGTATACATGGGTGTAAATGTAAGAGCCACTGGCTTTCAACTTCCAAGTTGATTTTGCACAGCTAGTAGTGGCAGAGGAGGTGAGAAAGGGATTATTTGAATGGATTTGATTAGGAAATCACTGAAACTGTAAACATGAAACAGCTGGTTTTCCTTTCTAGAACAGAAGATGTTCTAGTCATGTAGATGAGATACTTCCATGTGCCTGAGCTCTAAGGACTAGCATACTTTTGTATGATCAGGTGTTAACCCTCCTAAACTTCAGCCTTAACTTTCCCTTTCACAACAGCTTAAGTTGACAGATGCAAGTTCATTTTTCATGGTAGACTGTTTAGCTAACTTTTAAGATTTTACAGCTGTTTCTTTCATTTAGAAACAGGACTTCCTGAGCTTTTCAGTCAGCCCTTGCATTTGCCCCAAATTCATTCCATTATAGCAGTTGCTTGTTCCTGAAGCATGTGCTCTCAAAGGCAGTCAGATGTGCCTACTTTGAGTAGATGGAATAGCTGGTGGTTTTTAGATGTTATGGTAGAAAAATAACCTGAGATATTTGTAGTTTTATCTTAAAACTACTAGTAATCACTGGCCAAATCTCCCTGTCAGAGATGTGGAAATTCCTTCATGTTCTGTTCCACTGGGTTTCAGACTACTGGTTGCTTTAAGAATTGTGCTTTCCAGTTTGTGGTGAGAACTCAATCCCGTTACTGCCATGACCTGTACACTTACAGAAGTTTCCTCAATAGGCATTGCATTTATTCTGTCAGACACTCAAGACTTGCTCAGGACAGGGGAAGAAGAGTTTTCCAAAAGAATTCAGAAGTTCATAAACATCCATCGGAACAGCTTTTTGGTTTTGTCAGCTGCTCTTCATGGACCAGAAGAATGGAGTGTCATGTTCAGGATTCAGAGAAGGTATGATTTCAATCAAACTGAACTTTATCTTGCTAAGAAGACATGAAATAGCAGTCTTGTATTTGGAAATATTATTTTAGCAATAAATAGGACAAGAGGCAATGGACAGAAACTGATGCACAGGAAATTTCACCTGAACACGAGGAAGAACTTCTTCACTGTGAGGGTGACTGGGCACTGCAACAGATTGCCTACAGCAGTTGTAGAGGCTCCTTCACTGGAGATATTCCAGAACCATTTGGATGCAATCCTGTGCAGTGTGCTCTGGGATGAGGTTGGAGTTGACACGCTATAGTCCTTTCCAACCTTACCCTTTGTGAATTATTTCAGGAATACACAAATTTTATTTTACTAATTCACTGTAAAAAATTATTTAAAGCCTTTGTTTATTAATAGCAAATAAAAAGAATATCAAGTGAATCAATCTGACATATCACAGGTAACAAAAGAGGATGTTCCTCAAAACATAGCAAATAAGATTCATTTCAATCATTTTAGGGCTATGTAGTATACTATTTTAATTTTTTTTTTCTAATTGGAAAATTAGACAATTTTCTTAGCTCTATAACCATATTTTCATGGTCATTTTCAAAACAGAGCAGGCAAGTTTACATCATGAGAAAAGGCTGTAGTGTAAAGTGCAGATTTTTTACCAGCTTTTAAAATGTTTATTTGGAACAGCATCTGTTACACTGTGCTAGAACAATTAAATAACCAACGTTATTTAACACCAAAAGTATAAAACTATATTAAAATTGGTTTGTTTAAAACCTTTACCTCTGATTTCTAATGAAGTCTGAAAACTTGCTTATTTAGTACATACCAGCTGACAACAGTGACCAGATTGTGCTCCATGCTTGTAGTCAGAACTATTTTCTTGCAGGTACAGTAGCTCTAACTGCAGTTGGTTGTCACTCATGGCCTCAGAGAAGTGACTATTCTAAAGAAGTCTTTGATCATTTCCTTCTTAAGCAACTAGCACCAGTTCCATTAAATCCTGGGCATACTGCCAAATGCTGATGAATAAAGAGTGTATGAGATGAAATGTAAGAAATCTATTATCCGTTTGTGAAAATGTTGTAAATTTTCATGAGAGGTTTTAAAAGTTCAGCCACCATTCAGCAAGACCACATTATTGAGGTGATGGCAATGCTAATTCTCCATCTACTTTGTGGTTATGAACGATGGGGTTTGTGCACATGCTGATGACTAAAATGTGATTTGGAACTGTATTCCATTTGGGAAGTCAGTAATTTTATTAAAATTAAATTTGTTTTTTCATTGCAAGCAATATCAAATTGATGTTGACAAAGGACAATTACTTTTTTTTTTTTTAATGCATGTGCTTTTTTTATTACCTGGCAGCTTGAAGTTCTGCTACTGTTTGCAAATCACTGACTGAGCTTCTCCTGGGGGGCTTGAAACTTGTGCCATGTTCTTTGAAACTACAAACCACCTGTTGGATTCGTTAAAAAACAAAGTCCCTTAGTATTGTCAGGTTGTCTTCTATTACTGCTTCATTCTGCTTATCTATGGTTTTGCTGCTGTTGGGGAAGGATTATTTTTTATTATTATTAACAAGAAAACTACAGGATTCTTGTTAACAACATGAACACTTTATGTAGAGTTGTGTATAGTAAGGAGGAAGTGGGAGATAAGTAGTGTTTACCATCCCAGCTTAAATGAGCATTCCACAGAAAACCTTAGCACATTGGTATGGTAAGTTTAAATACTTTGGAGGAAAGGCAAGACATGTTCAAATGACCAGTATTCTGTCCATACAACACTAAATTTAGACCTCCTGCTTTTGGAAGCAAAACTATTTCTAGAAATAGATTTTCATGGATCTAGGTAAGTACATGTAATTGTTTCTTTGCTGCACTTTCTTCATTCATGCTTTGTTTAGCCCATTCTAGTATGAGCAAAATTGCACCAATTTCTTTCCCTAATCTCCAAATGTAAATCCACCCCTTGTTCGTATATCACATTTTTGCAAAACCCAGCAGAGACCCCAGTGCCTATGCTTAGAGAAGGACAGTGCCTGTAACATTTATTTTTGCTAATTAGAAGCAAGGGCAGACAAGTTCAGCTGAGATACCTTAGCAGCAGGAGGTCCTAATGTGGAGGACTCCAAGTCATCAGCCAGACTGCAGGAAGAACAGGTGGCGGGCACAAGGGGAGGTCACAGGGGACTGTGCAACTGAGCAGCTGGGCACTTCATCTGCATTATTTAAATTCTTTTTGGTTATTTAAAATTCCTCATTCTTTGCTGTGAAGTCCCTCTCCTGTTTTAGCTCTACAACAGAAAACAGCAGCAAATGTAATTCATTGTTACGACACACTTAAGGTGCAATTCTTAGGGAGAGGCTCTGTGCTTGCCTAAGCTTTGATGTCTCTCCTCCATAATCTCACTGAATAACAACTCATGCTACTATTTTAAATCTTCAGATCCCCTTCTCAAGAATGAATGTATATTAATAACACTATTTATAGAAAGAAATAATTTTAGGTTAAAGTATTGAGTGAACAAGTCTTTACATGAAAGTAAGTGGAATTATCCCATTATCTTAATCGTGTCTGGAATACAGGTTGTTTCATTTATAGTACACTACAAAGATTTAGTTCAAATTCTGAAGTATTTTTAGCAGTGTTTTTAGATACTTTGCTGTGCTCTTCCACAGCCATAAAAACAACTCAAATATTTTTACTGCCAGTGAGCAGTGCCTTCAGCAATAACACAGAAGAGGGTTTAGATCTCTGAATGTACACATGCTTAAGAAGTGCTTATTGATTGTTGAAGAGACCTAGATAAAGAAATGAGCCCTTCCAAATCCCACCTAAATAAGTGGTACAGAAATGGGACAGATGGCTTTACAAACAGCATGAATGCTGCACTTGCCTTTCAAAATAAAAGCAGCCTTCCCTGTAAGTAAAACTGCACACTAAAAAGCTGTTTACTTCATGTGGGAATGCTGTTTGAGTTTTATGGCATAACAAATTAAATACATATTCTAAAAGTAACCTTATTTATTTTGATGTGCAGATTCCTGGGCAGCAATTTACGTGTAATACCAGTTCATAATCCTGCTGAAACTGTTAAATTAATGCTAACTATGGCTAAGGTAAGTCCAGTTGCATACACTTAAAAATATTAGTGTATTACTCAGGAAAAGCCAAGAACTATAAAATACTTGGTTTTCCTTAATGGAACTTTTTAGGTTATACTGACCACAATCCATTAATACACTAAGGTAGAACTGGTGCTCTGATGGATTAGCTGAGTCAATACTGTTAAAGGTAACTTAATAGCTCTTAATAGCATCTAAGAAAAGAAATCAGATATCTAAGAGCTTCTTTGGCTCCTATTTACCACTGTTAAGATGTCTTCACTTACTGTTAACTCCCGTTGAAATACTATCACCTCTGTGTACAGCATTCCTGAATACCTACTTGAGAACACAAAAATCAAATTGCACTGCTAAATAATTTTGCATTTCTACTATTGGAAAAATAAAATCTTGAATATTCTATTACCTAAAGTCACTTTGTTCTACTCATTTTTCTTTTCTCTAAGGTAACTTCCAAGCCACAAGCAGATGATACTCGTTGCAAAATAGAAATGACAAAAGCCCAAATAATAGAAAAAAGTCCAGTTTGGAAGATGCTTCAGGAGTACCAATCGCACCGTAATTAACTTAATATTTGGTTTTTTATTCATAAATAGAGTGGCTACATTTTAAACAAAATAGAGAATGTTCTTAAAAATATAGCTTCATTTCAAAATACTACATACAACATATGCATTTGGCATGAAAATTCATATTAAATAGCTATACAATGAAAAATAGCATACTTGATACCAAATGTGCTTTCTAGAGAGGGAAAAAAAATGGTTTAGCTGCACAATAGGAAAGTCATCCTTATTTTTAACTTGGTTCTGACCTTAGAGGCTCATCTGTTTATTAATAATTCCCAAAAAAATTTACTGTATTTAAAAGAAAGCTGTACAATTAGAGATAAGGATGATTAAAGCAATTCCAAAATACAGGTATCCCTAAAAACAACAGCTATATGTATGCAACCTTACACTGTTTTTTAAACATAAGTGTTATCTGTTATGTTACGAAGTTCTTTCATCTTATTTGGCCCAAGGTTGTTTTACTTTAAACCTGGTTTCCTTTGCCACAGTGTTTGTACTATCTATACATAGTATATTCTATAGTGTTAGCTATCTGTACCTTACAGTCCTGACTGCAAATAGAGAAGCTTGTTTGTCAACATGAAAATGTGCTAATAAAAATATCTTTTGCTTAAACAGGGCTTTTGAATTAGTGGTTCTTCAATCACTTGATAAAAATCTTTGTAATTCACAACACCAGCCAACAACTATTACCCAACAAATTCTGAAAATTAAAAAAATAAATGCCTAACCATACCTCCTTGCCACAGAGAGGAACACACCTGTTTGTTTTTTTTGGTTTCTAAACTTAAGAAAAAGCATCAAATTCTGAAGAGGAGTAAACAGACCGTATCCGCAAATCACATGCAACAAGAGCAAAAGAAAATAAAAAACAGCAATGAGACTTCTGAAGAGCAGCATTTGCAATTCTTCTGGAGGCTGCTCTAAACTGCTCTTCTTTACAGGGCCGTAGCCTCCCCTGCAAGTGAAGTCTCATAGTCCAAAGATCCTGTCAGGAGTATGTTAATCCAAACACTTCAGCTGCCTTAACTATTCTCATCCATTGCAGCTTTTGTTTTCACTTCAATAAGTTCTTCTACCCGAGCTAGAACACTTTCTATTAAGTCAAATGTGAAGAGAGCTGAGTGTAAAACCTGAAATGACAAGAAAGATGAGTGTTATTTTTATTAGGGTTTTTTTTACCCATTTTATATTTACTTTTGTCTCCACATTGAAAAAAACGTCAGTACTTCTGAGTGACTGAAGGGAAGTGCAAACTCACTTGAAGCTGCATTCCAGTAGTCATGGCAGGCATCTTTTCCCCACTAACAGTTACAGAGCAAACTGTGTTAGAACTGTGTGCCTCTGTAGAAGAAAACATGAAGAAACCAACATGACCCTTAGAATTATAGGAATATTTAAAATATCGACATTTCATGACAGCAATTGTTAAGAACAGAAATCTAGGGATTGACAAAACACATGGCAGAGGGTGCTGAACCTTAAAAGGAAGACAGTTGGAGTTGGGTGATATCTTTACACTTTGTATAACACACATTCCTACATTACTGAACAGGCAAGATCTGCAACTGGAACTAATTTTATAGAGCTCACATGCTCTTCAAAAGGAAAAATAAAATGTTATCTGGCCTGGTTTTGATACATTTTTAGTATTTCCACATCCAGGGAGTTAGTAGGAGTTCTTTAGCTTGACTTAATGAATCCAGACATTAAATACTTATTTTATTAAGAAAAAGCTGCAGGCTTCTCTGTTTCAGACAGATTACTTGCAGCAGGCTAAACTACAAGGACAGGTCTGAAAAATAAGGGAAAAACCTCTTACATTCAGACCACATATTTGAAATTCAGTGCAATGCTTACAAAGATTAAACACAAGGGAAGAAACCTAAACCATTTACTGTTAGAATTTAGATGTTCTCTCCCAAACTCAAATTTCTTTATATTTTGTCAAAGGCTAGAGAACTGTAAGAGGGACTTAAGAAAAAGCTTCCTGATTAATTTTGAAGGATTCCCTTTAGCAAGATATCCACAGGTTGCCTTGAGGAAAAAAGTCCCCTTCTTTGCCTCATAAGTACATAGTTTGCAATGGAAGAGGATAAGACTAGAGGCAAAAAGCTGTATTGACATTTTTAGTAGCAGACACAAATTCCTTGGACTATCTTAATTATACTGGAGACCACAAGGAACAGAGGATGTGACATACATAAAGATTGCCTAAAGCAGCTACAGCTCTTGTGCCCCATGCAATGTGCCTGCTTAACCCAGAGCAGAATCTGATTCTGTGTGTCAGATTAAAAAAATGTATTTTAAAAAATGAATGTAATGCTTCAGGCTTTAGAAAGCAACTGTGACTTATTTTTTCTCTTGTTAACCCTCCCACACCTGGTTTGAAACCTAAGGGTTATGTATTCAGAGAAACTTAGTTTCTCCTTCGTAATATTAAAATCAAAAGTATAAATGCAGAACAAGTTCTGAAGGTCTTCATGTGACAGTTCTATCAAGTTTCCATAAGATTTACAAATGTGATGACAGGTAAGTTCAGATTTTGCTGACCAACTATGAAAATTTTTAATTCAGCAACTACTGAATTATTATTTGAAATTTGGAATAGTGGCAACAGTTAAAAAAAATTTGATCTATGCAGCATTCACCAGTTCCTCATTTCCAAAGGATTACCAAAGTTTCTAGATATGAACAACGCTAAGAACAAAAAACCAACAAAAACTGACCTTTTCTGTTTTCTTTCTTATTTTTAATTTCTGCTTCATAATGTGCTTTTGACATATTGAGTCCTACACGCAGTGGTTTTAAGAAATTCTGCTCTATCTTGCCAAGTGTGGTCCATACACCAGTCTAGTCAAACAGAACAGAGAAGGTTACACAACAGTTTCAATGAAGCATTGCAATACTAAGCTTTTGAGCACAAGTTTTTTGACTAGTCTTTATAACATATACTTCTGTGCTGGGAGGAAAAGAGAAAAAAATAATTCAGACTCATGCATTGAAGCATGAAGAGCATTGTGATGGGTATTTTAGCTCCTCTTCCTCTCCCCTATATTATTTGTTGATTGGCTGATGAAGCAGTCAAAAAAAAAAAAGGTGCAGAGGTAGGGAGGACCAAGTGTGTAGGCTGGTAACTACAGCAATGGAAATGCACATTTTCAGCTTGTTCCTGTAAGCAAAGCTGAAAGAATCTGCATGTGTTGGAGGGGAGGTTTTAGGCCCTTCCTCAGGCTAGAATCTCTACAGCAAGGAAATGGCAGGTGTAGGCTCCTCTCAGATAATTCAGCAGTAAAACAGAACAAATATTTAAATTCACATTCCTGAATTAACACTGTATTGTGATGTCAAATGAAAGTTGTGATAGTAGCAGGCTTCCCAATTGTCTATATTGCATTTTAAAAGTACTGTAGGAATGATACTGGATATGCTACTCTCCCATCCTTCAGCAAGGCAGCCACAGTGACAACAAAATTCTCCCCAGTGTGACATGGGCAGAAAGGAGTTACAATAATGGCATTCAGGAAGCAGGAGGTGCAAGGGGAAGATGCTCAAAACCAAGGCTGTTCAGGGTTACAGAGAGGAAAATAAGCTTGGGTTTGCTACAAACTGCTGTAGAAGGAAACAAATCCAAAGACACAAAGGCTGCTTTGTACATAGGAGCCATTTATACAACTCCTTTCTTCAGGCAGTATCCTCAAAGGGCAGAATAAGGACAATAAAAATAAGAATTTTCAATTTTAAATACAGTGAATCCACTAAGGACAGCGGAAAATTCACCAATTTTTAATACTAGATGACACAGTTAACAGTTCAAATAAGAACAGTAATTACTTCCACCAGAATGTGGTTTAAAAAAGGAACTTTCTAGAAAAATAGTTATTTTTAAACTTGATTAATGAAAATGCTTGCTACACAGCAATCAAAATATCTGAACTGACGTGGAAGGAGGCATTTTCTTTCTGCCTCACTTGCACTGTATGAAGAGAGACAGGGCAGAAGTCAAGAAGAACTGACAGAGGCTAAATTTAAGGGAAAATCTTCAGAAGATGTGATGCTATTTTTTCCTCAAACTGTATGGACATTCTTTTTGCCAGGTACTAGACAGCACTGTTAGAACAGCTGAGTGCTACTATGTGTAGGTTTTTATTAATAATAAAAGAGGAATTCTTACTTTTCTTACAAAGCTATGTATTTACATGTAACTGAGGAGACCGCTATGAGTACTTAAATAGTAATCACCCCTTAAATATGACAAACAGATAGAGTTTACCAATATTAACTAGTAAATAAATAGTAAAATAACTAAATAAATAGTAAAGTAGAAATGCACCCACTGAAAGCTATTTTTGCTTTTCATTTTCATTACAGTTTCAGCAATCAGTACTAGTTATTTCACTGTTATTCTAATTAGATTAGTAACATTATTGGGTACTTACAAAATTTATTGCTAGATAAATTTTCAAATTAGACTAAAAGTAGATCAGATTTTTTTTCTGTATTTTAGAAAACAGTAGATGATATTATTGTGTTATTATTGCTATAAAGATATCCAGCGGGTGGTTTGAGGGATACCAGCAAATAAATAAGCAAAAATAACAATTTTTTCATGTGAGAATACTTGCTGGGTATGTGATTTTGTGGTGACATACTCTATTGTTATGGATATAGATCAGTTCAACAGGCAGAGTAAAAGGATTAGTTGGTTTATAGGAACAGTATCTATGCAAACAATTTCATCAAACAAAGGACCATATCACATATTTCCTAATGTCTTAATAAAAGCATCACTTCTGGGGAACTAACCATTGCAAAGAAAAATGCAAAACCCACGTTTTTTGAATCAAGGCTAACAGTGTTCATGTGAATCCACCTCTCAGCTAATCCATCATGTTCAAATCAAATAGTACGTACTTGATTGTCACTTTCACAGTCCTTAATGACTAAGTACCTCAGCAGATTCAGTGATGCCAGAATCCTGTGAATTACAAACAGACAGATATCTCTTACCAGGATGGTAATTCTTCATTGTCCATTAGGCAGATATGCTGCTATGGAGAACCCATCTATACAAAAA